TGGAATGGTAAGCTAGCAGCTGGGAGCCCCCTCCTGAGCCAGGGGAAACGGGAAGAGAGGCAGGGACATCACCACCATAGCCAGGGACTGCTCCTATTCCCAGGTTGTCTCTAGTCTGCCACAGTCAAGATGGGAAAGTCCAAGGCTGGACAGCAGTGAAGAGGGATGATAGGTACCTGTTGGGTGTATCGGCATGTCAAAGGCAGACACACCAACATTTACAGATAGGAGCTGGAGAGAGGACAGGGTTATCCCAATACTTTTACCATTAAAGTCCTGCTGGTGGAAGGCTGGGCAGGGAAGAGCTCTACCTCTCCCAAAGCAATGCCATGCAATGACAGTTGTAAGTGCTAGACACACGTGATCATCCGAAACACGATTCATGCTGTCCTCCAAGGATGTACTTTGGAACCAAGGTATTTGTTGGGAGTGCAATGTGGGCTCCCTGTGGCGTCAGCTACAAATCTCATGGTTTAGGAATGCTGCTGAAGCTGACAGGATAGCTAGGTTGAATGTGACTGGACTATCATGAAGGGTGGAAGTTGCAGCACCGAGATACGGAAGGATGCTCTTTTCTCTATAAATTTATAGGGAGAAAATACAAATGCAGCCTTAGGCTCTGTAATGCTTGGTCCATGTACAGTGATGAGTAAATATTTAACTGCAGGAAGAACATTCCCTTCCACAGATCGAAGCAGCAGAGTTAATCAGTACCAGACTGTATCCAAGTCATGGGTGTCAAGAGTTCAAGGCAAGTTCAAAACCTTGAGGATGTTCAAAGTCTTCTACTCGGCCTAGGCAGTTGCTGTTTCTCCCCTGGGATGCTCCAAAGAAGGATCTTTTCACCTGCTGAGAACACAGGATGATTAACTCACTCAAGAACATGTTCCACAGAGAAGGGGAAGGGCTTGAGATGTGGCAAACGCAGTTTGAAGGTCTTCCTGTTGCATCCAGATGGTGCTTCAGAAGCTTGGGAGCTGGGCTGGGCTGGGAAAGCCCTGGGGCAGGTCTGGAGACATTTCCTGGTCTGGCAGCACACAGGATGCTCACCTGCAGTGCTGCTGACAGAAGCTGTCACTGGTTGTAGCTCTCAGGCTTTGGAAGGTGCTCGGTTCCTGTCAGCCCCTGCTGTTACACAGCAACACTTTTCCAGTTACTCTTTTACCCTGTAGTAATGTGCCCTCATCTGCCTCTCCCTCGCAAAGCCAGTCTGTTCCCTTCAGAGCTTATGTAGTAGAAAGAAGGCTGTGAGTACTCATCCCTACAATGAAACAAGCTCCTCCAGACATGATGTAGTTCATCTTTTCCTATATAATGTCTGCAGGGCTCTTGGAGCCTTGGAAAGAGAGCTAGTTGCCAGCATACTTTCTCCCCCCCTGCACCACTGGCTGGCCAGCTGATGAGCTGGGGTCTTGGCTGCTGGTTATCTCTGACTTTTGCTGGTGCTTTAGAGTAGAGATGTCTCCTTGTGGAGGAAAAAAACACTCCAAGAATATAATATCCCTTTTCAGGCCCATATCCCCCCTGGTGTCTCCCCCTTGAGGTTCAAGGTGAATGTTTCCAGTCCTCTGCACCAGTCGCTGTTTTTTTCTCTGGAGCCTGTTTTGCTTGAAAGGACATCATTTAAAGCTGGGAGGAGAAAGCAGGGAAGTTGGTTCAGTGTCCAAGTCCATTTGGATGACTGAGCATCGCTTCAGCCAAAGCACTCAACCCTTGCAATTTGGGGTATTTTAACAGTCGAAAGAGTCAAATATTTTACCGTGCAATTGAAACCTTTCTCTATTATTCAAAGCTCAGCTCCTCCTAGAGGAATGGCACATCAGGAGCTGTAAAGCTGAACTGAATTTTGGCTACAAAAGAAGAAAGCAAAAGTCTGTGTTGCTATTTTCCACCTCGGATTCAAATCCTCTGGACTGAACAGCCCTCACCAGGCACTGTGTAAAGTTTTCCCCTTAAATAAGATGACAGGGGTCAAGGGGCCCACGCTAAGCTGATTAGCACAGCCAAAGCCGTATCACATTGCCACAGTGGGGTCATATGATTGATCACTGGGATAAATAATTAGGAAGCTTCCCATGGAAGGGGAGTAGCTGGGACAGACCATAGAAGCAAGGGGAAACGGGCAACTGGGGCATAGCCAAGTTCTGATCCCCTTTGCCTGCCATAACGCAGACCAAAAAAGCAGGAGAAGCTTTTGCTTTGGGTTTCATCTCCCATCGGTTTCCCCTCCCAAAACGTGTTCTGCTCCACTGACCCAGGACTCACTGCAAGGCAGTCCATGTCACCCTGCAGCCACGTGCCACTGTCCCACCAGTCTGCCCTGTTCCCCTCTCCCGGCAGTGAGGAACAGCACAGAAGGTAGCAAGCTCATCAGAGAGACAAACGGGCTCACGTGGGCTTTGACATTCCCATAGGCGGCATGGGATGTGGGCCAGGAAGTGTTGCAGGGGCTGTGAGCAGCCCCCAAACGCAGCCGGTATGAGGGCAGTAGGGAGGACAGAGGTACCAGCCATTGCTCCCTCACCCTTCCCTCCACCACCGTATCTTCTCTTCCTCTCCAGGGGAGTAAAGGTGGACAGGAACCAAGGTGTGCTAAAGTAAATACTCATTTGCATCTACAGCAGGCACCTCCTGGTGCAACCCTGGCGAGATTTATTCCTCTCTACCTCCAGCACAGGTGCTTGGGGAGCGAAAGCTTCAACAGTACCCAGCTTAACTCAGCCCCAAGTCATCATCTGGGGCCAGGCTGTGCCCCTCGCTCTGGTGGGGCTCTCTTAGGGGAGTACTGAGTGGCCTCAGGGGCTTTGCCCTGTGCACAGCCACAGCAGTGGTCCCCACAGGGTCTTCCCCCACTGGTGGAGCTGCAGGATGGCCACCTTTCTTCACAGACAGAATACACAGCTTGTGGAGACCTCACTGATGCATCACAGAATGGCTTGGGTTGGAAGAGACCTTGAAGCTCATGCAGTCCCAACCCCCTGCCATAGGAAGGAGCACATTCCACTAGACCAGGCTGCTCAAAGCCCCATCCCAGGACTAAGGGGAGCACCCCAAGACGGTACCCATTGGTAGGCCTAGGAGGGGCAAGCAGAACCCAATTCTCCTCCCATTGTCTCTATACAATAGTATCCTGGGGTGCATCAGGAGCAGTGTGGCAGCAGGTCGAAGGAGGTGATCCTCAAGAGCTCCCTTCCAATCCTAATGATTCTGTGATAATAATGGTAGCTGAGGGCAGGCAGAATAGAAGCAACACCCCAGTGACCACCATGAGGCCCCACTGCAGCAACTGGGGGGCCTCCTTCATCCTGGTGGGACCTGGGCACCTGAAAGGCATGGGAGCAAAGGCAGGGGCTGAGGATTTAAAAGGATAAACATGAAGGCAAAGAAGCAGTGAGCGATGGGAAGCGAGCACCCAGTCATCCTATTAAACAGGTCTGAAGCCCATCTGCCACCAGGCTTGGCCAGGGGGGATGTACAAACCTGTCCCCCTGTCAGACTCGGTGTAAAAGATGCCAGCAGAAGTTAACCTTCTCCTCTACCCACAGCTTTCCCAGCTCTTGTTTCTTCACTGTTTGTCTTTCCTGCCTTGTTGCGGGCTGAGGTTGTTTGCCAGAGAATAACACAAAGGCTTGTTGCTGCCAGAATCTGCCCTCCAACAACAAGGAATAGCAGTAAGTGAGCAAGTAGGGACACACAGAGCTGCACAGAGAGCAGAAGAGAATAGCTCCTATTATTTTGGTAAGTTGCTGTTGACTTTGAGGCAGGACACTTGGGGAAAGGTAACAGCTGGTGTTAGACAAATGATACAGCTAGGAAAAACAGAGGGGCTTTTAGACACACAAATCCTGCTTCCGAGCTGCAGCAAAAGGCTGTAAATGTCAGCCTAAGCACAGCAGGGAAAGATTTCTTCTAAGTCTCTCTCTTTGGGGAAAAACCATGAGGCTCTACAGGGAAAGAACTTGCTGTTCAACATGCAGCAAAACAGAGGCATGACTAGATCCCATATCTAGTCATCTATCTTCTGCAGCGATAGTGCTTCCCCACCTCTAGAAGCCAGTGCTGGGTCCACCAAACAAAACCTGTTATGGTGTTGCATGAGCACTCCTAGCACTTGTGAAGCGCCAGCAGATGCTTTGCCCCACCGCATCGCTGCACACCAGCAGTTTCCAAGCGACACTCAGACTCAACCTTGCAGTGCTGAGCCCTGATTTACACTGACTCCAGGGATTTCAGTTCAACTCGGGCTTTGCTGCAAACATCGTGTTTTACAATAAGAGCAGCAGTTTTCAGGCCCTGGGGAGAGAGATCAGTGTTGAGCAGAATTCAGGAACTGCATTAGCACTAAAAGAAGCGGGCGAGTTAGAGAAGGCACAGCACAAGTACACTGTTGAGCTGCAGCTTAATGATGGCCATGGAAGCAACTATGTGCTGCTAGGTTACAGGGTCAAGCAGCAGTTGTATATCGATTAGTGATGTCAAAGTTGCCAGAGGACCTGCCTCATGCAGCAGACAGTGCACACTGTGTTCTGGGATCTGTGTGTCTGCTTTAGGCCATCACTCCCGATTTGAACTGCAGTGCCATTTGCCTTTAGGCAGGAGTCTTGGCTTTGATATTGCATGGTAGGATTTGCATTCAAGGATAATCACACTGAGTGTCAAGAAGAAACCCAGCCTATAGGCAGCAAACTTTGCTCCTGTGACTGAGGAGGCTCAGCTATGCAATTTCCTATTGCATGCGTGGACATTTTCCAACCTGCTGTTTCAGGCCCGCCTCACCCTCTGCTTTCCCTCTGTTATGAAACTCTAGAGATGCTTCCTCTGTGACACCACTTTTTGTTTGGGAGACAAAAACGTAGGAGTGATCATCCCTGCTATCAACAAGCAGGTATCTCAGACAGCAACAAAAGAACCAGCATCAATAATGGAGAGGGTAGAGAGAGACGGAGATGCAGTGAAGTGGAGAGAGGGAAGCCAATCAACTTAATGAAATCAAGCACAGGGTTAGCAAAGGGCTATTTATAGACTCCAACTGGCTCGGCCCTGTGCACTTAGAGGCTGGTTTGAACTGGCTCTTTAACAACAGTAATAATCATTACAGAAAAGAAAGAGGGGAAAAAAAAAGTGAAAGCTTGGAAAATTCACTGCCGGAGGTAAAGCTTTAGAGCTGGGGCTGGCTGGAGTCAGAAGTAACTGCATTACAGGGAGATTGAAAGGTTAATAGGAAACCAGCTGACACTGAAAGGGAACAATTAGAGAGGTTAAGGGGCTTAATATTAGATTAATGGTTGCCTGGAGGAGCAAAAGCAGAGATTTCAGGAAAATGGGAGAACACTGGGCAGAAGGCTGGGTTTTCATGGATGGAGAACCCCCACGTTGGCTCCTTGGATAAACTGGAAGAAGGTGGCTCTGTCATTCCTTGCCAGTCTTGCCGTCTCCTGTTTCCTCTTCCTCTTCTTCCACCTGTTTGTCTCTTTAATTCCCTTTGGGTTTGCTCTCCCCACTTAAGTGCTGTCTGTGTGGTCTTAGTGTCTTCCTCGTGTTTCTCCTCCATCCTCCCACTGTCTTCTTAAAGGTCATAATAACAAAATGATGCTCAGCATTCCCAAGGCTCTTTCATCCCTCTCCTGTGTGCCGCTCTGCAGAGGCTGGGGTGGTGGGGATGGACACTTCTATCTGCATTACCCATAATCAGAAGTCAAAGCTACAAAGAAAGAGAAAAACAAAGAAAGAGTTGACAAAGATGACAGGTCTCTTCCCCAACCAGATGGACAACACTGACACTGGTAAAGTCGCTAACTACCACCAGCCACTTTAAAAGACTTTTTAGCAGGAAGATGTTGGACATCTGGATGATCAGGGGACTGGAGCACCTCCCATATGAAGATCGGCTGAGAAAGTTGGGGCTGTTCAGCCTGGAGAAGAGAAGGCTGCGTGGAGACCTCATAGCAGCCTTCCAGTACCTGAAGGGGGCCTATAGGGATGCTGGGGAGGGACTCTTCATTAGGGACTGTAGTGATAGGACAAGGGGTAATGAGTTAAAACTTAAACAGGGGAAGTTTAGATTGGATATAAGGAGGAAATTCTTTCCTGTTCGGGTGGTGAGGCACTGGAATAGGTTGCCCAAGGAGGTTGTGAATGCTCCATCCCTGGCAGTGTTCAAGGCCAGGTTGGACGAGGCCTTGGGTGACATGGTTTAGAGCAAGGTGTCCCTGCCCATGGCAGGGGGGTTGGAACTTGATGATCTTAAGGTCCTTTCCAACCCTAACTATTCTATGATTCTATGATTCTATGACATATTGCAGAGAGTACTGATTTAGCAGGATAGGAACTGGCATGGATCCGTGGTGTCTCCAAAGGGAGGCTGAAGATACTGAGAGGGGATATTCAGCACAAGGAATGAGGTACTACAAGACAAAGGACCATATATATGCTGCTGCTGTGTGGTGGGCTGAGCACTGAACAGACAGAAGGCTCAAACACACCTCTTACAGGAAGGCAGCCATAGAAAGGAGGATGTTCTGTAGCTCAGAGGTGCTGGATGTTCTCACAAATCCTTGTGCTGCAAAGAGGAGATAAACTGTTCTCCCTTTCCACCCTGTAAGATGAGTAGCAAAGGATTTGGGATGGACTCACTGCACCTGTACAGTGCAAGCTCCCCAGCCATAACCTGACCTGTCCTGTTTCCCCATGGCCACTGCAGTTGCTAACACAGTCTGTCCCTTGAGAGTCCCTGTACCTTGGTGCCAGGAGAGCCTTGTCACATAGCACCACCAGCTGCTGCTCAGGGCAGCACTGGGAGCATTGAACTGCTCCTTGCACCACCCTAAGAGAAACCCTCCCCTCCTGCACCACCCATGGCTGCCCAAGGACCTTTCCAAACGCACGTGCTCTTCCCATGGGACAGGGAGAACTTTCCCCGAGTGCCTGGCCCTTGGCCGTTGCTTGTGGACTCAAACAAGCGCGAGCTGGCTGGATCCGTGTGTATCTTACACCACTTCCCACAGCGCAGCCTCCCCTCTGAACATCTCCCTGGCAAGATTAGAAAGCAATGCACTCAGCACTTCCTTCTAGGGCTGTAAAAGCCAGGCTGGGACTCCAGTGCTGCGCGGGCACCTGACACTGAAGTTTCCTCCCTTGTGATAATGACAGTGAATGTCCCAGCACAGATGAGTTGTGGTTGTTTGCAGCATATTAGTTCCAAAACACTTTAAATGTGGTGCTCTGGCTTAATGTAACCTATGAGGTCACCGATGGGTGTCCGAGGGGAAAAGACCAAGGACAACCCAGCTGGCATCAGAAGGCAACGACCTGTTTTCTTCTTATATCCATGACAGCTGAGCACTGACTTCTTACACCTGGGTCACTGCTGATTGATAGAAAGACCAGAGAGATGCCTAAAGAAGCATTCACTGGATATATTATTTCCTCGGGTCTCTTTCTTTTAAGCAGCCACATCTACTTAAAAGGAACAGACTCCTTCCCACCCTCCCATCCTACATAGGAGTATTTCCCAGGTCTAACTTAAACCTCCTTCCTGTGCCACATCCCCGGAGCTGCATCTCTGCTTCAGGAGATCTGCTATCCTCCCAGTGCTGACCTGTGCTAGAGCCCAGGTGTACCCATCACCTCCAGCCCGCAGTGCCCCACAGTTAAAAGCACATTGCAGCTGAGGATCTTGAAGTGCTGCACAAACAGCCATTAATCCTCAAGCCACCCCTAGGAGCCTGGCCTGTAATTATTTGGCTCACTATTTATCTCTGGAACTCACTGTGCCCGTTCCTCCACCCTGGGGATGAAGGAAGGTAAAACAATACCCATCGTTTCGTAACGAATTGCAAATTAAACTGAGTGCAGCTCAGGCGTTAAGGGAAACGTTACCTTTTCCATAATCACCTCCTTCAGGCAAGACAAAATGTAGAACAGCTCTTCTTTAACAGTGAGGTAAACTTGGACACAGAACTTAAGTGACAAACCCCGAGTGAGACAGCCAACAAGTGGCAGAAGAGTTCTGAGAGCCAAAGCCAGGAATCCTACCTCTTGGCTTCTTGTTTTATCAAGTGAATTGTTTTTCACCACCCCCACTTAAAGATGACCTTCAAAGGAAAAGAAATGCCGCTTATGCCTTTTATGTGCCTTTGTAGTAGATAAAGGAGCCTGGCTTTCAGTCCAAAGGAAAAAGATTAAGTGTTTTTCCACTTGCTTCCTTATTGTTAGAAACGCAGCTCTACAGGATCCTAAAATTCTCCAGTCTAAGTCTAGATCATGACAAAACCAAGGACAAATGAAAGACGTGAGGGCAAGAACAGGGCAGAGGAGAGGGGAAATCGAGCCAAACTCACAAAGTGCTGTTTGCGAGCAACAATTGAATAAACACAGGTAAGAAAATGACGCACAAAGTATCAGTAAGAAATTATGTGCTGCTTAAGAGCTGATGCTCCCTTGGCTCCAGCCAGGGGTGTCAGAATCCCCAGAGGTCAAACTCTGAGCACCCCAGGACATCTGCATGGGGAAAAGAAAAGCCAAAAAGAAAAGGATCCTCATACCTTTTTCTTCCTCTCAAACAAAAGCCAAAAGTGGCATCAGATCTCAAGACAGACCCAGCCTACAGGAATGGGAAGGACTAGGCAACAAAGGAGAGCAATTTTTGTGCCTCCTGTGTTGGCCTGGTTCTTGCAGAGGAATCCCTGGAGAGGAGATGCTGAAGGGAAGGAGCATAGGGATGGGTGGGGTAAGCTGACAATACAAAAGGCAATTACAAAGTTAAGCAGAGGTGAGGAAAGCAGAAGAAGGACAGGGCTGGAGCAAATGTCAGCATGCAGAGGAAATGGTCCCACTTCAGTCCAGAGAGCAGAAAGGTCACACAATCAGTTTCTAGCTGACAAAGCTGTCCCCTCTCGGCTCTTTTCCTGCAGCTCCCTCCCCTACCTATTCCAGGGAGGCAGCAGGACCACCGCTCTGGTCTAAGCCCAGAAGGCACAGTTCCAGCCATACCTGTTTAAACTACTCCTGTGGCCAGGACATTTAATTACAACTAGTCTGCAATGTGCAGGCTTTGCTCTGCTTTTAACAGCCTGGGATCAAAACCTGTGTGACCAGAGCGTGGAGGGAAGGGTGATGGGTTCCCAGTGATGTTACTGTATTGAAAGAAGCACATTGGACAGGTTCTGCCTGGATGTGGCTGAGAGGTACACAGACTGTGTTTGCACTTGGTTGCAAGTCATTGGGCACTCCAAGGGCTGAAACCCAAGTAAGTAAAAGCCTTTCCTTAGGAAATCTGTTTTCCCAGTTCTTTGAAAATCCACTCAGGCAGTTCCTCCAGAACATTCCAAGCACAGAGCATTGAAGAATAATCTGTTAAAGTCACCTCCCTCCTGATGGACTACCTACCAGTAACACTTCATTACTATAGCTGGGTGTACTGAAACCCAGATGTCATCCAAGAAGCGCAAATCTTGTGGCCACCCCTCTCACTGCCCACCTCACAGACCCCTCGGGTCATTCCCGAGCTTTCCAGCCCAACCTTGTGCCTTGGGTTACAACCACACCGTTCCGTTGTAAAAGGGAGCCAGAAGGGACCGCTAGGAGCTCTTTGCAAAGCGATGCCACAGGAGCCAAGCAATTGCTGATGCTAGAGCGGTGCCTGCTGGCCGCTAATCACAAGCACTTTCTACGCAGCCCCACGCCGCTTCTCATCTTTCTCTTTAAGGTTTTATGGTTTTTAAGCCAATCCCAATATAATATACTTTGGTATAATTGATGCAGTTTTGCTTATGCAACTCCCTGGGAAAGTTGAGATTCTAGGCAGTGTCATCCCAGCAATCTCCTTTACCTAATGTTGGATATTAAGATCATAAGGCATCTTAAATCACCGATAGCTTCTGAAAAGTCTGGCATTTCATATACCTTTTACATACAGAAACATGCTAAAATGCCAATAATGCCACTGTTATGCAACCTGGGTGGAATGAGTGCCAAAACCACTGTCCTATGATGTGCTGGGAGAGACAAATGAAGCTATGGGTAAAACTGCTCTCATCACAGAGCCAGTTTCTTGGGTGCTCACAAAATGAATACTAAAACAATGAAATCCCAAAGAAATAATCTTCAGAGATACAATAGAATGCTCTTTCACCACATTCAGAGATGTATTACAATGTGTTATACTGGACTTTGCCCTCAGCCCAAGGATCTGGAGACAACTTAGATATGAACAAAATAAAATAGGTAATGTACTATGTAGTTCCTGAATTTAGAGTATGAAAGAAAATAGAGTTCTGTCAGAAGAATTGGATCATGTCTCCCCTGGTAATGGCAAAGGGATGCATCCATCTTCATGGGTCTTCCAGGGGATGAAACAATACATCAAATTCTCTCTTGGATCCCCGTTTTCTCACTGATGGCAGGTGGTGGCCATGGGGTTGGAACTAGATTATCGTCAGGTCCTTTCCAACCCTAACTATTCTATGATTCCCTGTTAAGCAACCTCAGCTAAAGACTTCTCATTCATCACATCTGTTTGCTATTCTGCCACACTTGAACTGTCAGGCTGACATTTTACATCCTCAGCATAAACAGGGCATATGTAGTTGGGAGGTGGGCAGGCAGACAAAAACAGCGGTAAGGCTGTTAAATGCCTTTCTGAAGAACTGGTTGTTCTCTGCACTGCTGTTTGAGCTTGCCCATGCTGTACATAAGCCAAAACATTAAGTTGAATACATATTTTTGGTAGACACTGGCCAAATGTCTGCATTGAACCAGCAACTGCACAGATTTTAACCATCGTACTGTTTTAGCAGATGGAAGCACCCCTCTGCCCACTTCTGCTCCAGCACAGTTCAGTGCAGACTGCTACATCTAGGGAAAATGGACCCCAAACAGTTTACAACCCAGCACAAACACTGATCTCCTGGCAAATACTCCAGTAACTTGAACTGATTGTTCTCTAAAATCTCCAGTGCACTAAGAGGCTTCTTCCCTCCCCTGTGTGAGGGGGTGCACAATACACACATGCACATATGTTCATGCATGTATGCAGAACATAAACACTTGAACACACATAGAATCATAGAATGGTTTGGGTTGGAAGGGACCTTCAGAGCTCATCTAGTTCAACCCCCTGCAATGAGCAGGGACATCTCCAACTAGATCAGGTTGCGCAGAACCACATCCAGCCTGGCTTTGAATGACTCCAGGGATGGGGCATCCACCACCTCTCTGGGCAACCTGTGCTAGTGTTTCATTTCCAGACATCATTGGTCTTCACCTAACAAACAAGCCAAAGCACCAGCCTGTACAGCTCATTTATAGAAAACTCTTCTGAATGCACTGTTTCTCTCTCCAGCAGAAGGGGAGGACAGGAGCACAGGGGACACCATCTTCTCTGCTGCCTAAACACATGGAGTTTCACCCAAGCCGAATTCATGCATGGATTGCCACGCTGAAACTGTTCCTGTGTTCCATGTTTCCCTATGCGTGCAATGGAACATCTTGCTAGTGGTTTGAAGCTGCAGCTGGAGGTGAACAGAGCTCTACCTTAACCACGTGAAGGCCCCGAGACTACAAGACGTATACAGGACACCAAGTCTGAGTCATGTGTGCTCCTTAATCAGTGAACACATCTGAAAGACTTGGTCGTGATCTCACTATCAGTTTGCCCATCTGTAAAAAGGCGACTGTGCCACCACCTGTCTGAGAGCATAGAGAATGTGTTTGCAAAATGGTCAATTGCTATGGTGTTATATTATAACTAAAAAAGAAATCTGAAAGAAAGAGAATGACTTTAAAGTGCATCTCAGATTATGCCTAGAAGAAAATGCCAGGGGGCTATGCGAAGTTAATGCAACAAAATCAAATCAAATGTCCATTTATTGCCAGTGACAGGAATCTGCTGAAAGTACTGTCTATTTTCAGAATGCATTAAGGACGGGGGAATGACAGAAGATTGTGCAGAAAATCTTGAATTCAGCATTCTCTAATCTTTCAGCTTTGGGGTTTGTCACTATAATGAACTTCTGCCATAATTCATTTGGCTCCAGAAAGAGAGAACTGAAAAACAACCAGATGATAAATAATTATAAATCTGGAGCCCATTACTAATGATTAGAGTGTTTCAATTCACCATATACTTGTGTGATACCATAGTGATTAGAAAAAGCATCTTAAATGAGTTGTCAGTATGCTTCAGAGTTGAACCAGAGGGCTCTCATATTTAATCAGCACTGTTGAGTAAAACCTGTGCTTCAGAGCCATGACACAGCCAAAGGGAATAGCAACACCACCCAGACACACAAAGCTTCAGGCTGCCACTCTGCCACCGAAACCTTCTCACCTCCTTTTCAAGCATGGTCTTCCTGCATCGGTCCTCTGGCTTGAGTGACAGACACCACCACCACCACCAGGGACTTTCCTTGACTAGTTTGGTTGAGTTAGTTAGTCAGGTTAGCCGAACAGTCACCTAAAACTGAGAGTTTGCAACTGGATGTGAAACCTCTGAATATGTATTTCTCAATCAGAACTGGCAGGGAAATGCTAGTGTCAATGGAAAGGCATGGCTCCTTTTTTTGCCAGGACTGCAAGATACAGCCTATTGCAGCAAAAGGCAAGCATTCTAAGAAATGATTCAGGGATAAATTTATCCTTTGAGCCCTAAAACCCAGTCTGTTTCACAGCACTGTACACAGAATTTCTGGACCTTATTTCCACTTACCTCCAGCTAGCGCTCATTGCTCAGTTGCCCTCAGTTCCATCTCCTGGTCCAACTTTACACTCTCTCCCTTCTCTTCCCCAGGAACCAAACAGGATCAAAGCTGTATACTTGAAGAGCACTGAGTCCCCCAATGGAAAGAAAAGGCAAAAGCCAAAGCAGATATGATAGAAGAGGAAAACACAGTCTAAATGGGAAACAAACTTGAGATTTATAAGGCAAGAAATACATTTTTGTAAGTAGAGAGGCCTAGTTTGTCTGTCTAACTGCTAGGGAAAAAAGACAAGTTTTGGGACTCCCAGGCCCAGCCTCAGATATGCAGCAGGGATAAAGCAGAAGGTGCATTATACTCAAGTTTTATATTTCGGCCATATAAAACTTGACAAAGTAGAAACTTGGAGCATAAGATGCACTGATTTCTCCTGTGACTGCACTAGATAAGCCACAGTGGTCCACATTGTGTGCCAGGTTCAACTCTACTCACAACCTTTCAAGGAGGAAAGTCCCCTTGAGGTCAACCCTAAGGCAAAGCTCCTTAGAACTGAGTCCATAGAAACATTTCATGCCCCTGTACCTACACCACAGTTCAAACTGCACCCAGAGACAGTGGGAGCACACAAGCTCATCTCCCCCTTTCTCCTTTGGTGTTAGTGAATTAACCTGCTACTGCAGGTTGCGAGCCTGTGTTCCAGCAGCAGTGTCCCACATAGGGCATGCCATCAGCTCCTTGCAGTCTGCCACATGTTATCTGCTGCTGGTTTTAAGGCATAGACACAAGTCTGCACAGGAGATAACCATGCTGTCTGTTGGTGTTCCTGCTGTCCCTGGCTTTTACTGCTCCTGGAAGCCGAGTCCTCACAGCTCTGCCTGTGGAGCCCTGTATTAAGTTTTAGCTCCTGGGCACCAGTGAAGTTTCTTTCAACTCACACAACTGCTTTTATACTGTTAATCTGTTAAGAGATTGTTCCCAGCTCAGCCAGAGCTGCTCGGTTTCAGCTGCACCAGAGCACAGCTGCCAGGATGCCCAGGAGTTACTGGACTGTTCCTGTACCAACCCATGGGGTTTACATTCTTGTGACTGTCCTCCCCACCCTGGGCAGCAGAGAAATAGGGAGGAGAAGAAGCGGAGGGCTCAGGAAGGGTCCGTGCCCTGCGGCCACCCTCAGGACTTACACAGAGGTTCAGAAGCCATCACAGCAGCAACAGCGTCCCAAGCCGCGTGTCCTCCCATGGGCTGGCCATGCCTCCAGCCTGGTTCGAGCGGTGCAGGTCCAGCTAGTGCGGGCAGCACACGTTGTTGCGTTGCTTGTACAGCAGGGGGAGCTTCAGCTCTGCTGGCTGGGAAGCCGACATGAAATCACGCCGAAGCCCAGGGCTGGAAGGGAGCTCTGGAGAGCGCCTCCTACAGCCCCCTGCCCAGCCAGGGCCACCTAGGGCACCTTACGCAGAAAGGCGTCCGGGCGGGTTTGGGAGCCCCACAGGTTAGGGGGAGAACAAATGTCAGCAGCTCAGAGAACGATGGCCACCCAAAGGTAGAACTCCCTGCAGCCTGGTGTTTGACACCGATGGTCCTCGAAAGCCCGCTGTTCTCTTTGGTACCTCGGGGCTAACCCTGACCACGCTTACCTGCTTCACCCAAGGCTGGGCTGGCTGCTGGGAGGGTGACCGCCACACGGGGGCTCGGGGCTCAGTCAAGGCCGGTTCAGGTCTCAGGAGTTGTTGGGGGTCAGGAGGGTGCTCTGGGAGCTCCTCCTACAGACGATGTGCTCGGCACTGTCGGAAGTCCTTGGCCTTTTCGGCCATCGTGTGGTACAGGGCCGCCTGCCACAGCATGGGGGGACACGGTGACCACAGGGGATGTGGTGGCAAAAGGGAGAGTGCTGGGGGCAATGGTGACCATGGTGACCACAGATGTGGCTGATTCTGGAACACCCCGTGTTCAGGTGTGCGAGGCCACAGAACCCCATGGAAGCCATCACACATACACACAGTGCCTTTTTCCCCTTCAACAGGGTTGAAGTCAGCCAGTACCAGGTTGCCCAGAGAAGCTCCATTGATGGAGAGCACTGGAATTCTGACTGCCCATAGTCCTTAGCCACCTGTTTTCACTGACCTCGCTTTGAGCAGAGGAGCTGGGGACTCTGAGCTCCAGCAGACCCTTCCAACCCCAGCCAGTTTGTGACGGGTTTTGGTTTTCTTTCTGTGCTTATGCAACTCATTTAAACCTGTTCAGAAACTTTTGTAGCCAGACTTGGAAGTTTCGATGTTTGCCTTGTGTAGTTTGGAGGTTGGGCAGGGGTTGCTGCCCTCTGAACGGGCACAGCCCTCCTTGAGGTGATGCTGCTGCATGTCCTTGGCCGCAGACTGAAGGGACAATGAGCAGCTTTGCGAGGAGAGGGGACAGTGGGCTTACATGCATGTCACAGGGCTTTGTGCTGCAGATGTGCTCTGTGTGCCTGTATAACCAGAACTGCTTAGAAACATGTTCTGCCTCCTGGTTATTCCGGGGCTAACATGCTTTTGCTCATACCAGCCCAAGGAGTCCCCACCCCCTTTCCAACATGGAATAAAGGGAGCACTAACACTGACTTATTATGGCACTTCTTGTTTTGCTAAAATAGTGAGTTTGGAGACACAGAGTCTTTTTTGGTGCTGGTAACTCCCCACCCAAAGAGCTTCCATGGTTCAAAAAGCTGAGCACTACCCCCAAATGCTCTGAGAGGATGTCAGTGGTGATAATGAGAGACTTGATGCATCTTAGAGAGCTGCTAACATTAGGCTGCAGTTCCCAGCTCTTGTGGAAAGTGTATTAGCTGCATGAGGGAAGGACCACTGCCACGAGGCCAAAGGTTCTCTTAACACTTTGAGGAACTAAAGCATCTGACAAAGGATACTGGCATGAAGAGAAAGGGGCAGCTGCCACATTTTCCTCCACACTAGACGCCTGTGCCAGTTACGCACACATCCTTCACTGTAGCACCAAAATAGGAATACAAGCAAGGCATGGCCTGAAACCTGTTTAATGTCTTGTACTTGGAGCCCAGCTCCCTAGCAGGTAATGTACATGTCCCTAGCTGAGCAGCTGCTAACTGGAAATGGGAAGTGTTTTTGTTGTGGATTGGGTTTGCCCTCTGTCTTTGGCACCTCAGAGCTCAGTTGAAGGCCACTCTCACTGCGGGCGGCTGATGCTACCCAAAAGGTAAAAAACAGGCATGATCTCCCCAGGTCTCCAGGAAAGCACATTCTGAATCAGGACATCACTCCCTGCGCCAGGGGCTGAATGCTGCTCTGTGGCAGGGGGCATCTTTCTGCTCCTTCAAGGAGCTCATTCCTGCCCTCCACCCTGCTCCTGTACAGTGAAGCTGCACTTACAAGGCGACACAGTTTGGTCATTAAATAGGTTTCAAAACATATTTTGTATTCATGCGTTTACTGACATAGGCAGAAGCCACATGCAACTTGTAGAAATAAGACACCATTCCTCATTGTGTCTCAGAAGTAGGTCAGAGGATCGTCTCTGGTTTTGCCAGTCTGGAAACTGACAAGGCTGGGACCTTGGTTCTCTTGAGGAAGGCTCTGAAACACCTTTAAGTGAACGTAGTCAGTATCAGAAACCTGGACCTAGAAACCAAAACAGCGGGAAAGTGAGGATCATGGGTTCAAAGCAGGTTCAAACAAAAGGATGTTCTTTATATACTTGGAAGAAGATCTTTGCTCAGGAGCTTAATTTTAGGCGTATGTCCATTTTTACTTCAACAGCTCTTAACCCAATTATATAGTTGTTGTGGTTTAAGCCCAGGCCATAAATCAGAACAATGCAGTCTACTTCCCTCCCCCCCCCCCCCACTTTCTTCCTTCTGCTCCTGAAGGGATGGGAAGCAGAACTGAAAGAATGTAACTGCCATGGGTTGAGAAAAGACCAGTCCAGTAACTAAGGTATAACACAAATCACTGCTGCTACCACTAATAATAATAATGATAAGGGAAATAACAAGGGAAGAGAATACAATACCACCCACTGATACCCAGCCCGACTGAGCAGTGAACTAGCCCTTCCCAGTGACTTTCAGTTACATCCTGGGCATGCCGTGCTGTGGTATGGAATACCTCTTTGGTCAGTTTGGGTCAGGTGTCCTGCCTCTGCTTCCTCGCGGCTTCCCCTCCTCCCTGGCAGAACATGAGGCTCACAAAGTCCTTGGTCAGACTAAACATTTGAGCAATAACTAAAACCATCAGTGTTATCAGCGCTGTTCCCAGGCCAAAAGTCAAAACCACAGCACTGCACCAGCTAAGAAGAAGGAGAAAAGTGGCCTGCTACTGTTGATCCAGGACAATAGTATTAACGGGAAGTTTAATGCCTCAGGCACCAGGAGGTTGCTACATACTTTCTGGTAGCTGCAACATGGCACTATGTTTGTTTTGGTCTGGATTACATCTGAGCTCTAAGTCTTCTGGTAAAATACTAGTGATGTGGAAAATTCAGAATTATGAAATAATGGATCTTGTCACAGAGCTCATCCCAGGTAATGCTAAAACGAGTAACTGTTTCCTGTCACTTGCCAGATTGGGAAAGAAGAGACAAATAATCCATTTTCAGTGTCATAAATGGATTTCCTCCCAGGTCAGTAACATGTCAAGCTTCATTTCAGAGTAGCTTTGTCATAAGGCTTAGCATGGAGAGCACGAGTATTTTACATTGCCTAGGTCAGCAACAAGGGAAGAAATGCAACTGGGTAAGACTTCTGGCTTTACTGCAGCCTTCCTGAAATTGTTCCACTTCATCACTCAGTACTTTGCCTACAAAAGCACATCTCACAGGACCAAGGGAAGGAAAAACATCACTGATGTAAGTACAGCTCAGACTAGTCATATAATAGGTAGTCTGTCAATATAATTCATGGTGCTCACAGAGCAGAAATAACTCTTTAAGAGTTACTTTAAGGAAGTGCTTGGAAAAGAGGAAGGTTTGTCAGTATCTGTCCTTCCTGGTTCATCTAAATATAAGAAGTGTGGAGCAAATGCTCTTAACGTCTCTCTACAGAATTACAACCCACCCAATCTATCTGTGAATTTAATTAATGAAGATTCTGAGCCTTGTCAAGGGAGCATATCCTGCTGGGCATGTGTCTGCACACATGTGGAGTTAAGATACAGCAGTCATATGCAAAGTCAGCTCTACTTCCAGAAAGCCCGCCTGCCACCAAGCAATGCTTTCCAGCTGTCAGTTGCAAGTATGCCCAGCTGAAAGCTGCTCAGATCCTTGGGTAAAGTTATCTAGTAGAGGGTGATGCTATCAGAGGGTTCCAAATTAAGGGTTACCCATTTTACCTCTGCAACAGAAAGGGAGGGACTTGAAAATACAGGAAGAACTCACAGGCAGGCTGTACCTCTGCAGCACGTGACACAGAATCAGAACATCAACACACATGCTTGCATTACATTAAAAAGTTCACTCTTAACTGTCCACCAGAGCCTCAGACTGACTTCAAATTCATCATAATAAATACAACTGGAGGACACAGACCCAACAGGAAAGCTACTCTGCCTTGAAAGGATACAGGAGGGCAGAGTTGAGACTAAATAATTTGAGCTGATAAGACAATCCATAGTCTTTGAGATGATCCTAAGAAACTGACTATTCACATCTGAAGCAGCACAGTGAATGTTTTACAAGTTTTCGTATTCCTGTTCGACAATAGTGCCAAATATAGGAACTTTTTAAGCATCTGTTGGTCACTTCAGGTGGTTTCCTACTAAACTTGCTTCCTTTTCTTGTTATAAGCCACTATGCAAGTCACCTACATTGTTTAACTACAAACCATAATTGCAAAGCTCCTGTAACATATACAAACCTTAATAAAGTAGTTTATCCCAGCGACCACCTGAGTCTTATATACTATGGCTTTAAAGGTGCCATATGTCCTGTTTTCTCTGCTTTCAAATTGTGGCTTCACCTGTAAAAAGAAAGGGAAAAACTGTTGGCAGGTTCATATTTCTTTCCTATCTCCCACTCCAGTTTTCCTTCTTTCAAACCACACCCTTAATGAATTAAACCCAGAACCCCCAAAATAATACTGTTTACACCAAGACCTCCAGCCCTCTTCCCTAGCATTGCCTCCAGCATTCTTTAAAATTCCCCTGAGATTATCCAGTTCCAACCCCATGCCAGGAGTAGGGATGCTTCACACTAGACCATGTCACCCAAGGCTCAGTCCAACCTGGCCTTGAACACTGCATTTACCACTTCTTTGGGCTGCCTGTGCCAGCGCCTCACCACGCTCACAGTAAAGAACTTCTTCCTATATCCTACCTGAATTTCCCGTTTCACTTTGAACCCATCACGCCTCATCCTATCGCTACAGTCCCTGACGAGGAGTCCCTCTCCAACATCCCTGTAGGCCCCTTCAGATATTGGAAGCTGCTCTGAGTTCTCCATGCAGCTTCTCTTCTCCAGGCTGAACAGCCCCAATGTTCTCAACCTGTCTCCATACGGGAGCTGCTCCAGTCCCTGATCATCCTCACGGCCTCATCTGCACTTGCTCCAACAGCTCTGTGTCCTTCTTATGTTGAGGACACAACTGCACACAGCGCTCCAAGTGGTGTCTCACGAGAGCCGAGGGGCAGGATCGTAACTGGTTTACTATAGTGGTTATGTCACATACATATATGTGACATACACCGTTGTCGTATCACATGTATGTGATCACAAACACAGAAAGGCAACTGCAGTGAACATAACCTGAAAACCTAGTCCTGTAGAAGGCGTAAACAACCCTCTGCAGGCTGAGTAACAGCCTCTCCTTTGCACATGACAGCCATGCCATCAGCCTGATGCACCCCGGAAGTCGGGCAGAGGAGCGCGTCCTTGGCAGTCTCCTCAGGCAGCCCCTGGAAGGGACTGGCAGCACCTCAGAGCTTCTCACCACCCTCCTGGTTCACCACAGTGGAGACTGGCATTCCCAGCACATCCACCTCCAGAGCTGCTGCCACTCCCATGGCATTCTTTCCTAGCAGGCAGGTTCCCAGAAGCACCAAAAGGAACATCCAGATCAGCTACTTCCACACAGTCAGAAATTATCATCGTATTCAGGCTCCTCAACCTCTTACTCTTCTGCTGAGCAGCTTCCACAGGGTTTCTGTCCCTGGGAACTGAGAGCTATACTTTCAACCCAGCAGCTCCTGACTCTAGCAATCCAAGGAAACTTCCATTTCCAACCCTCTTCCAGCTGGCTGGGCTGCTCCGCTCCTAGAATGCTCTAGCTGCAAAAGTGACTTCTGGTACCTATTAGTCTTGTCTCAGCACAAAACAAGACAAAAGGGAGTTCTCTCTAGTTTTACAATCTCTCCCATACTACATTCCCCATTTGTTAATTTTAGACAGAGCCTTCAGTATAACTAGGCAAGCAGACAGCTCCCAAATCCTCAGATGGAAAAATGCAACATTCCTAAGCTCTTACGTAATAGATCCTTAAACTCAAAACATTCCCCAGTTTTAGGCAACAGCTCTAAATGAAGAGCACTGAATAACTAACACTGCCCAACTCACTAAGGGTGACTACAAGGGAGACAAGGCAGAGGCTTAAGTAAATAATTATGCAATCCCAAGAGCAGAATCCCAAGGTCTGCAGGTGCTCTTCACAACTTCCCCCAAATCATATGAGCTGCTTTGCTTAGCAGAGCAAAAAATCCCACACAATTGCACCATGAAAGGGTGACGCTGTTATCTGGTTGGAAGCATAGCAGGATTGCCCCAACATAAAGTTTGTTCCTGGAGAATATTTTCCTTACAGAATTATATGAAAGCCTTTGTTGGGGTGGGAAGAGGGGGGGACGACAACATGGGACACCACTGAGAGCTCTCTCCTGTTTTCAGCACAAGGCAGAAATTTCACCTTGCAGAAAATAAAGAACAAAGACTAATTTGGTTTTATTTTCTTGAAGCTGCTGAGAATAGAACACCAAAATCAAGATCAGCCCTTTTCTGGAATCACGCAGAAATCTGTACATCGGCATTTCAGGTTCCATATTTGCCTGTACTTTGTGAGCATTAGCACAGCCTGAAACCAGCATCCACGTTTTGAAGTGCATATTTGCTCACTGACAGTTGAACACTGTGGTTTAATCTCTGATATACGCTGCAATAGGTTAGGATCTTTTGATCACCCCTAACACAGCCAAGAATTAAAACCAAAGCTCAGCATCTGGCATCTTACATTGGCTTAGCAAAGCGTTCAAAGGAGGCCCTTAGGTACTTCACAGACTCATTAGTTAAATTGCACAGTCCCCAGCTGGCATGAAGCATTGCCCTCCCCATCCTACACATGAGGAAACGGGAACTGCAAATATGCAAAGATGCCACATGTCCCTGCCCAGGGTCTGTCTCCCTTCCCAGGTAAAGGGGAATTCCTATCTCTGCAAGGCCTGCTCCTTCAACCATTTGTGCCTGCATAGCAGGAACAGAGATACTGCTCCTGAGTAATTTAATCAGTGTCATAGAATGATCTGTGTTGGAAGGGACCTTACAGATCATCTAGTTCCAGTCTCTGCCATGGGAACTCTGCCACGGGCAGGGACAACTTCCACTAGACCAGGTTGCTGCAAGCCCCATCCAACATAGCCTTGAACACTGTAACTTCAGCTGGCACCATGAAGTGAGAGGACCAAGCACCAATACTTGGTTCAAATCAACTCTGGCAGCTCCAGCTGTGACTGACCAGCAAAGCCCTACAATGGAAGGTGACTCAGAGGAGCTGGACAAGAGTGATGTGCCTATGAAACTCAGAAAATGCAGGGTGTAACTGACCACAGCCTGTGCAAAGGCTGACTTTATCTCAACAAAAAGGGGATCAGAAAGTATTTGTCTTAGATAAATAGCTATGTCAGTTGAGTGGATCAACTGGTGGTGTAACACTGAGTTCATTAAAGGAATGTGAACACCTCCCAGAGGTAGGCCGACCAGTATGGGGGGAGTGAGTACAGCACTCTGCCTGACTATGAACTAAAGAATTTTGAAGACAACAGCAGGTTTGAACTGGCTTCAATCCATGTATTCCTTCCTGGTGACTGAGGATGCCTAGTGTCATGACAATGAGCATATTAGATTGACCACATGGAGATCACATTGGTGGTGTCACACCAACTGCTGTATTCCAACTGCTCTATTGCTAAGACTAATATATCTGTATTGAGTTACCAGTGTATTTGTATCACTCTGCAAAATCAAAAGCCTCATGTGCCATCAAATAGTATCAAATAAGTAAATTAGATATTAAACAGTATACCCTGCATATGTGGAATACCTCAAAAGAACCTGGTCGGAGTACTCTGACACCAGCCTACACAGCCTATTTACAGATACCTCCCTGTGGCTCTGCCCTTCCACATGCACAGACCAGCTCACCTCAAGTTTGGCTTCATCATTGCCTGGTCTCAGCCTGCAAGGTAGAAGGAGACATGGAATGGTGCTGGTGCAAACTCTGTCCTCTATGGCACAGCAAAGGAGGAAGCTGGGAGCCCTGCACATAACGCGTGTGCAGCCGTATCGACCAATATGTTCATCTTCACTACTTCCTATTTTTATTTCCTCAAGGAGGGCATAAATTACACTTTGTGCTGTTGCCAAAGAGGGATGAGCCATTCTTACAGAGCTGGGAGGGTGAAGGTGATTGGTTGGGTGGGTCACAAAAGGAGCCTTCCCACTCCCCTCCCATTCCTCAGGACACACTTCATACACTTTTAAGTGCTGCTGCACTGCAGGGCATTAGAGGATCTGCAGAAGTGCTGTTCACACAGCTGCTTCCAGAGTGTGAGTGAAGCAACCAAACACCATGCAACCAGACTCATGCTGCCAGGCTTGCTAGCAGGCTCTGCATCTTCGCTGTGACTCCAGAAAACACTCCAGAGATCCCAGCAGACAACATGCCATTTATCCATAGCCTTGTCATGTGTATATCTTGATCGCATACTATCACATGGTTTGTCCTATCCATGTCCTTCAATGAGGAATTAATTCTGCCAAGTACAGCCTTCTCCTATCAAATATACCAACTTTAATTTCAAACAAGTGACCTCAGTGCTGGCATAAAAGAGTGGGCCTTTGAAGTACACATGAACATTATTAACTGACAGAAGCCAGTAGTACTATCCCTCGCAAGGATGAGACAGAGAAGTGGTTCACCTCAGTCTTACCAGAGCACTGCCCATGCAGAATGCTGAGAAAACACTGACAGACTAGGGAATTCACATATTCAGCACTAACTTCTTCACTTTAAATACTGGATCATTATCACCACCTGGTCTCCCAGCCTTTACCCAAGCTTCTGCCCTTGGCAGACAGAGAATTCATCTTCAGGTAGGTCACAACTCACCTGGTCAACAATATGCTGGACTTCTGGAGTAGCAGGCTTGGTCTCAGATAAGCCCCCAGGCATCATAGTGGCAGGTAACTTCTCTGAAATGCTGGGTGCTTCTGAAGAGGGAAGTTTAGTGCAGTCTGAGCAGAGTCAGCAGGCATCTCATATATATACATACACATGTGTCATGGAATCATATGACCTGTAACACATGGAGCCTACCATTACTGAACTGGAGAAGGAGACAAAGGGGGAAAAAAAGCAACACAAAACACTGATAATACTAAATGCAAGAACCACTTTAATATCTTAAGTGTCTATAGGCTCCACGTCAATAAGAAAAGCAAACAACAGCCCCCAGCTACCTGCATCTAAAGACAGTTGGTTTGGGCCACAGCTAGAACTTCTGGCCCCTCCACCCACGTGGAGGTGACTAGTCTCTGTGCTTAGGAAATGGATTAGAGTCACACCCAGTATTTCTCAACACCATTCAAGATCAGAAGAAAGCATGCAGGAATTTCCTTACTGAAATTGTACTCTCTCAATATCCTTGCAAGTGAGAATCAGAAGCAGACAGCATTTGAGTTTTAGTGACTATACTACCCTCTGCCTTACCAGGAAGGTGCCAAGGTAAACACCAGAAACAGAAGGGGAAAAAAATTAAATCCTAGGATCAAGTACTGCAAATGAGTTATTTCTGCTTCTTTCAAATCAAACCTATAGTTGCAATCATAATAACAACCGAATATGCAGTACTATTTACAGGTTTCTACGAAACTCTTGTCCTGGCAGACAAAGCATGACCCCTCTCACTACAGCAGTTGTGTGTGCACAATAGCTGCTCATGGTAGTTATATTTCACACAGAACTGAAATCTGTAGCATACAGTTACAGTCAAACATGTGACAGTCACATTCGTGACCATACGTGAATGTACAAAGCTCAAAACACACTCAGTCTGCTGCCGGCAACTGTTAGCAGCCCTACCTGATAAGGAAGAACCAACACCTCAAGCCCACAGGAGAAAACTGCTCCTCTTTCGTATTCGTGCCACCCCCTTCTCCAACAGGTGGGAGGAATGCTGTTCCAGAGCTAGGACCAGAGAAGCAGCAAGAGAAAAGGCAATCTTAGTCCCTAGGGGTGGGTACATGGGGGTACGTGCTGCACACAGGCAATGGATATTTCTGCTGGAATCAGCATTAGGGAATTTCCTAGAAACAAGCATGTTCATGGCCACAGCAGTGGTGGCTGTGTAGCACAGACTTATCGGTGTCCCAACCAGGTTCTCAACACTCCTCAGATGACAAGCAATGCAACAGACTGTAAACAAGTACTTCATATCTAACTTCAAGGCATGTTCTTGGTATAAAGGCCCCATGATTCAGAGACTGGGGCTGTAGAGGACCTAAACTCCGCAGTGTATAGATCAAAGTAACAGCATGCTACTGATAAAGATGGTGCAGAACTTCCCAAACCCTGCACAGCAGTGTTAGTGTCAGGAGAGTGGATGAAAGGCATTTGAGAAAAAACAGCTGTCCTGAGAAAACATCCTTCTGAACAAAAAGTGTTCCCAGTCCTTGCAAATGAAGGGAAGTGTTAAAACTGGGATTCTGCCACATTCTTCGAATTCACCGCTTGAGATCAGGGGTTCCTCAAAGCCCAGTTCAGGGAGTTAACAACAATTCAAGCTGATGAGCTCAAATGCTTTGCGTTGCACAAGACCCTACTGATTCACTCAACGCTGATCATCTTCCAACATGTCACTACCATTAATCTTATTCACACAGCAAGACAGATAAGCTAACTAACTGGAAGAGCCAGCTCACCTTACTGAGGCCAGAAGCCATGGGATGTTTCAACAACCTCACTGCATCAGTGCTACACCAGGGTGTTTTATAAACCTCTCCACTCACCAGGATACAGATCTAACTCCCTTGGGAAGGGATGTTGATAAGATCCCCATGGTAGCACTACTTCCCCGGAGAACTCTTGATTCTGATTAGTAGGAAATATACATGAGCACAAAGACTGAAATGAATGAAATTTTAACCACCTAGGTGTGAAACCAAGAATGTAAATGTGGTATGGAAATTATTCACTGGATTCTGTATTTATGGTATTTCTAAGATTTGGATGCAGTACTTATCCTGCACATGTAGTTCATGAAGTCACTCTGAAATCCTGATGTTTCAAAGACCTGCTATCAATGATGATCAGTGGCAATGGACTATCCAAGGCAACCTCATCTACACCTCTCTCTAATTATTAAGCTTTGGATGTACTGAAACAGCATTTGGAACGCTGTTTTGAGAAGAACATCCCCATTCCATCTCTTGCACAACATCGACAAGCCAGTGAGTGTCTACACATAGATATTGGAGACCTGTTTGATGTTACATAGCATTTCGGCCTACACTCACCACTGGCACTATGGCAGCTTCTCTTCACATAACTGTACTGCTCTTAACCTGGAAAATCTGTGCTGGGAGAACAGCACTTTAAAGTTCTACAGCCGAGTAACATCTTGCACTATCCCAGTAATCAAGAAATAAATGCCTATAGCCTGCAGCCCACTATTTTCTGGTCCTGTATAAGCAATTTTAGGAAGCACAAGTTATAGGCAATAAAAACATGAGTATGATAGAAAGCAAACAAAACCCATATCCCAGGGTTATGAATTTATGAGTTATTTTAAAACCAGAAATTAAGTCAGCTCTGTAGGAAGGATTGTGAAAGCTAAGTCAGTAGGTCAGTCTTCTGGTTTCGCAGTGACAAGGCATGTAATTGTGACTGGATGAAATGACACACAGCCTGCACCATTTTAAGAGCTGCCAAAAGCAAGCAGCCCTCCATGCAGCAACTGAAGATCTGTTTGTCATCATCACAGTAACAACATCCTTGACTTCCAATATGCTGCTCTGCAGTAAAGGTTCCCCCTCCTGCTACTCACACGGATTTCAGATTTCTGATGCTGTACATCAGGGAGGATTAACAGAAATCTGAACGTCAGCAGCACAAAACTGTCATATCCCAAAGACTGTGCTGAGCCTCTTGTACCAGTGAAGAGCCACTTCCCCTAAGTCTTCTCCAAGACAACCAAATTCTAGCCTTAAAAATGTTCTATAAAGAGGTTACCTATTTCATCAATCTCCCATGCCTACAGGCTGCAGAAGACAACAGCACTGAGTGCCAGAAAAAACACATATCCCTATTTCACAGACGGAAAAAAGCAGCTCACACTTGAGAGGACGTCCCAAGCAAACAGGATCTGCTCACCTGTATTTATCATGTCCAAACAATGGGAAAGCCCCAGCAGTGGGGCAATCCACCTGCAGGAGATCTAGATTTTTGGCAGGGACATCAGTTGTGCCGTTACTTGCAGAAATAAAAGTTAGAACCAGGAAAAAGACGAAATCCTGGTATTTGTGGGGTGCATGATTTGATTCTCATATGACATCAAGCAGCGCAGTAATTCTGTGACTACCTTGAGGGTACAGTTCAAGCAGGATTCAACTGCAGATTAAGCACTATCCTAGAATGGACAGAGGTCACTAGACAGAGATTTTACCTGCCTTTGTTTACTATGGCCCACAGGTCATACTAGTGCCATTATCATACCATCACAAAACATCCCCCTTCACAGGCAGATCTTAAGTACTCAAAAAAAATAGCAAAGTCATTTTCTCCTTCCCTGTGCTCCAAATCATGGCATGCAATTCCAGCAACTCACCTTAATGTTCCACTACGTTCAACAGCAAGACTCAAACAGCCTCTGATCCATGCGATTTGCCATGTACTGTAAGAGATATCCCTCTGTGCTCAGAGCAAACTAAACAGAGGAATTCAACTCCTCAGTGCAAACCTCTGTATACATGCTGAAACACCTGCAGAAGGGAGGTTTGAGACTTAGAACTTATGGTGTCAGAAGTTTTTCATATATAGGTTTGTATAGGTCTACTTCTTTGGCCTTATATTCAGATGAAAAACAGTGCTACATTGGGTTTTTTTGGTTGTTGGGGTTTTTCTCATTGTTTTCTCATGACAACTGCTAAATTGGGCTACTCAAAAAAAGAGAGAAACAAATCTAGGTATGTATCACATCCCTTTCACAGGTCATTTTTCACAGCATCTGCTTTAATGAAGAATTTTTTCCACAACAGCTGAGCAAACATCTGGATGGGTAGAGGAGGACAGTGATTAATTCTCATTGCAGTCTCTAGTTTCTACAGAAATACAAGCATGAATTTCCAGAGTATTGGTGCCAACTGTCTATACACACTGGCAGAAGTTCTTATCATACAGCTGACTTAAAAGGAACATTTACCCTGCAGTTTTAGATCTAAGCCCTGGATAGAACTAGTATTTTAGACACCTGTGTTAGAGGTCACTATTGGAGTACTGACTTCTTTATCAAAACTAACTGTTCTCACCATCTCATTACTGGACCATCTCCTGTGCAACTTAGGTTGGTAGCAATTCAGGCCACAGTTCTGAGCAGTATTTGCTTTCCACTTTGAGGATAAACAATTGTAAGAATTTATCAGTTGAAGAACAAACATGTTTTCTGCTTTCAGAGTTGCATAAAAACAATGAGGATACCTCGAGAGCAAGACTAGCACTTCAAATGGAGTAAAGGTCTGCTTAGAGCAGTTGTGATACCTAGGGGAAAAAAGGGAAAAATAATGAAGTTTGAACATTAGGATTGAAAGCCTCAGAGACTTAAATTACATTTCTGCCCCATTCTCAAAGAAAAGTGAGACTTAATATCTCTGCTGCCTAAAAATAAATGCCACCAAGTAGTCTGAGTCTCTTCTGGACAAACAACTACAAACCAGATGATGCTGCACAGATTTTTGCCAGCTTTCCAGTAACACAGGTATATTCCTACATTTACTTCCCACTACCCCATATATGCAGAGCATTTAGGGAAGTGGGAGTATACAGTAATTTTGGTACTGTTACTGAATTCCAAAGCATTTTATAAGATGGGGACTGTATTTTTAAGACTCTTCAAATTAAAGGGTTCTTAAAGGGTGCTAAGTAATAAAACCAGCTGGCAACCAAGCAGACCTTGTTATTTGACTGTAAGCCAGTTAGTTAGCAAAACATAAAGGTGTAATTACAGCAATTCTGCTTTCTTCATACTTATCTGCTTTTAACTGCAGAGGTGTTGCACTAAAGCTTTCTAAGTATACAGCTATGGCCAGAAGCAACAGGACCAGGTATGAGCAGCTCTTTTGCCAGTTGAAATGCAATTCACCTATGGGATTCCTTTCAGATTTCAGAAGGAGGGATAGTGAGCTGCATCATTCCTGAATGAGACTTCTCTTCATCTTCAGTCCAAAGTGGTTTTAATTGACACCACATTCCCTATTTAAAGAAAAATTGCAAAACTTGGGAATGCAGACCAAAGGCCAGTATGTGATGCATGCTGCCTGTCAGCATTGTGGGAGCACTGGCAAACCTGCAGCTCTGAACCAATGCTGCCACTGCCGAGCAGTTCAGAACTATGGTGACAGGGCTGCTGAACCTACGCTTGCTGATCATTCTGCAATGTGTCATTTCCTTTCAGATTTTAGTGTGTTATTTGCACAAAGACACCATGTTCACTGATAGCTTAACAGGCACCAGTTCAGGGAGAGCCCTGTCCTTGCCTGCTCAGAGCTGGTTTTTCCTGTTTCTTTCCCTCTAGGACTGTTGAAGCTGTAGAAGAGCAAGAAAGATGCCAGTTTCGCATTCCATTTGAAAATTATTTTAATACTATAAAATTCATTTGTTCACATATTTTGTACAAAAGTTGAGCTGTTTTCTCTTAATTACAGGAGAATCATTTCAATCTTGAACTTTCAGCTAAGTAGGTCCAAAACAAAACAAGACTGGGTTCTACTGGTTCTGGAGGGTCGCAACACAGCTCACCCAAGGTCTCTTTTCAGTTTGGCTCTCGCGGTTATGGACCAACTTGACGGAAAATACCCCACATCATTGACTCTTCGGAGGCTTGTAGTGAATTCGGCAACGTTCATTAAATACCTGAGACACCAAAACAGAAGAGCAAAAGCAAATCAGCCCTCCTCCAGGAGATGAGAAAAACTTCAGGCAACTCCCTCTTCACTTAGCACCCATCTCAAGCTACCCAGCCCTGCTGTACCAATAAATGGTACTTACCAAAGCATCTGTCTCCATTCACCTTCTCTCCTGGCTTTGGTGAATCCAAAGTTTGCAGCCTGATGCTGGGGGACTGCACAGCACTAAGTGTTCTCCCTCAGATAAGGCAGGCTCATAATCCTGGTAGTCTGTTGTCATCAAAGATGCTGATGCCTTTTTTCTTTAATTTTAAAAGAGGGAGGGGAAATCACCAGGGGAAGGCTACTGACCAGCTGTGTTCTGTTAAGTTCACTCTGGCATTCAAATCTGGATACTCTACTCTTCTCTTTCCTGACCAAATGCATTTTACATTGCCATGACAGCTAAGAGGTGCAAGGGCTCTTGGAAGCCATGTTCATACTGGTAGTTATCTGAGTGCTGGTCCTGATGCTGCCTATGCAAAGGGCACACCGCTCTTGCCTCACCCACCTCTGCACCTTCCCTGAGTAAAATTTAGCACACGGAACTAGAGACTGAAGATCCCATTTATTAGCCTGAACTCTCGGCCTTGTCAAGCAGACTGCTTACCCTAACAAATGTGACTGTTTAAAGTGAGGAAGTCTGAATCTAAAGTACAACACACAGGTTCACACCAAAGTTACAGGTGCTCTGTACAAGCAATTTAGTTATTGTTTTGGCCCTGAACTTCGCCCAGCTTGTGTCCTGAAAAGCAACACAAGCAGCACCTAACACCAAGCTGAGGCAGTTACCAGCTCCCCCACCAGCACTCCTGTTTTCCAAGGTGTCCAGGCCTTTTCAGATCCAAACACCTACGACTGTCAGGAGATCAAGTTTCGTGAACTCTCCCACTGGCTTCACATGCCAAATGAGTGGGAGAGTGATTCTGGAGAATCTATGTGTCACTTCATATGAATACATTCTTTTAAACTGCATCTTCCTAGCATCTTCTACAGCTGATGTCCCTCTTCAGAGTTCAGAACCTCTGGCCACTTCAGCAGAAGTGAAGTTTGGAGCATGCATCAGCTTTAGAATTGATTCTTAACAACTTCTGAGTCATTTTCAACTTGCTTTCAAATGTAATTTACGTTAAGAAACAGACATGTATTACAAACGGCTTCATATTGCAGGAAAACAAAAGCTGTGATACAGTTTCTTTCACACACACAGACAGCAGATCACATTATGTTACCACATGCAGTGGACACCTCTGGAACAGTGAAGAATATGCAGTGGTCTGAGATCAGTTAAGCAACAGAAGCAAACTGTAGAAATCAAGAGCCATAAAGGTTCTTATTCAGAAGCATTCAAATTCTTACTAAAATAAGCAGATTGCATCATTTTTGTCTGTTTTTTGTCAAAAGACATTTTAAGGGTCACTGGGAATACACTCTAAAAGACTGTAAGGGTCTCTTGCATCCAACAGCACACCAGCCTGCTTGCTAGCATGCAACCTTTGGAAGCTTTTTTAACTGTAACTCCACAGCCTATGGAAGGAAGATTGACGCTACAATCCTAACACTGCCTCCTACTGTTAGGATCATTGACCCACAGATCTCAGTGTGTTACTCAGGACACTCAACTTCATCGGTCTATCTGTGAAGAGCTACTCTCCTTTTTCAGAAAGGAAAGACAGTGCCTGAGAAACCTTAGCATTCATGTTACTAGGCAGAAACTTGATTTTGATGTCTTTTACATAATACTGTAATACACTTCAAGAATGAAGTCCAATGGGGAGGTTATACCTCCCAGAGGCTGATGGAAGTATCTTGTTTTGGAAGCCAATTCCTTGTTTGGCATTAGCCAAACAAAATTCCACTGCATGCATTTCTATCCAGCAGCATCTTTCTGTATGCCACTTCCACTACGGCTACCCAGAGCAATGTTGGCAAATACCTCTTTCCTAGTCAGATTTTTCCAGTCACTTTTCAGTTGGTTAGGGTTAAGGTAAATACGTAAGTGTACTTTCCAACTAGAAGTCTGCAACAGTAAAAAAGAGTGGAGGTCCTCACCTGCAAACCAATAAGCACTTCCATGTTACAAACTGCATTCGGTCCACAACTAGGACTGATTCTAATTCCTTCAGTGACATGTTTTACAGGCAGCTATTGCTGTAACCCTAACCCTAACCCTAATTGCCTGTATTCAGAGGGAAACAAAAATCCTTTTTGCATTTGGAGAGGAAAAGAGGTTCTCTATACAGTACTGAAAGCTCTGAAAAACTACAACAAACCAGAAGAGGATGCGAGGTGTGAAATGCTGCAGTGACAGAATAGAGCCACCTCAGAATTTAATCTCAGTGTCAAGATCACTTTATAACAAGACAGCATCTGGGGCTATCAATTCAGAGGGTGATGTGCCACCTCTGTTGACACATGAGAGCAACAGCAAGCCTGCCCTTTGCACCAGGGAGCTCCATCAGGAAAAGGTTCAATTTCCACAGCCTCCTCTTCCTCTGGCCTCTGCTCAGAAGCACCATCAGTACCACACAGCCAAATCTGAAAGACTCATCTCTCTGACACTGTTGGAGGCCCAGCAAAGCTTTTCAGATAGGCCACCATGGAAAAGTCTACAAAGTACCTAGCCACCTGGGCAAGGAGTAAGGGAGCTGCACAGGGAGCACTCCACAGTCCTTCCTCCCCCCTAAATCAGATGCTTTTCTTTTGTTTGCAGTGCAGAACATCATCACTATTCTAAATGATTGAGTACCTTCCAGCTTCTGTCGTTTACCACTTCTTCAACATTCAGTTCCGACTGCATCAATTTCAACTGCAGAAACAGATAAAGAAGTTATTGTCAAACAGTGGACTGTGTAGTCTTCAATATTTACCACTATTGCAGCTTTCTGGATCTGCAGCCTTGAGTTGTCATTCTTCCACACATGCATTATTAGAGGAAGCTGGCAGCAAAGCTAGGACTGAGCACAGGTCTCAGAATCAGATTTAGAATTCAGATCATAAATAGATCCTCTCCGTTTCCTGTGCTGTCTCCTCTGTGTACTGACCAAAAAAGGGTCTACAAGAACAGATCATGTATGTTCACGATATATGAATCAGTTAATATGTTATGTTATCAGGGTAGGACAAATCAGGTTTACACAGATGCAAAAGAACTACCACAATATGCAGTTCTTGAACACGCACTTACATAAGAAATGTAAGACTCTCTTTGATTTGCACCCATCAGAAAGCCCAAGGGGCAGGTGTGACAGTTGTGTTCAGGTAACCTGCAGTAATTTGACCCTCCCATGAGGCCCTGAAGCAAGGCATTTAAGAACCATCTGCCTTCTTTTGCCTGTAGTTCAGATGTATTTTTGTTGGAGTCTCAACAAACACATGGCTCCATTTAGAGGTCGTGACCAGATGCAAGCCAAGACAGAAATCCCATCAAAAACATTCCAAGTAAGATGTCCAGACACACACAACTAGAGTTGCTGGATGCACCTTTACCTGCTCAACAGGACTTCAAACTGTTTGAAATAACCATCCAGAATCTATAGAGTGAATAGATGATCCAGATTAGTCTTTGTAAAAGAACCACTCAGAAGATCCCTAGCAGTTCAAAGAAAGGTTTTTCCTGCTGGTGCATGTCAGTAGGTTTACAATCAACTTGACTGTAACATTGTAAGGAAGAAGTTCTTTACTGTGAGGGTGGTGAGGTACTAGAATGGGTTGCCCAGGGAAATTGTGAATGCTCCATCCCTGGCGGTGTTCAAGGCCAGGCTGGACAGAGCCTTGGGTAGCATGGTTTAGCATGAGGTGTCCCTGCCCCTGGCAGGGGAGGTGGAACTAGATGATCTTAAGGCCCTTTCCAACCCAAACCATTCTGTGATTCTATGATTAACTGCCTTGACACCAAGCTTAAGCAAAAATATTTTAGCCTTTTCCTTAGAGTTGCAGAACCAAACAACAATATAGTATCAATCAACATGGCTATACGGTGGAATTTGTTGTTGCTTTTAAAACATAATCTGACATTCTGTCCTGGGTTCAGCTGTAGCAGTTGTTTTTTTCCTTCCTAGTACCTGGTGCAGAGCTGTGTTTTCAACTTTAGCCTGAGAACAACACTGATAACACACCAACGTTTTATCTGTTGCTCAGTAGCACTTACCCCTACCAAGGACTTTTCAGTCCCTCATGCTTTGCCAGTGAAGAAGGGCACAAGAAGCCAGCAGGGGGGAGAGACAGGACACCTGACCCAAACTAGCCAAAGGGGTATTCCACACCACAGCACATCATGCCCAGTATAGAAAATGGGGGGAGTCACCCAGAAAGCCCAGATCACTGCTTGGGTCAGGCTGGGTATCTCTCGGCGGGTGGTGAGCAATTGAGTTGTGCACCACTTGTGTTGATTATTTTCTTTTCCTTAATTCCCCTTTCAGTTTTATATTCTCTCCCCTTGTCATTTCCCTTATCATTATTATTGGTGGTAGCAGTAGTGGTTTTGTGTTATACCTTAGTTACTGGATTGTTCTTATCTCAACCAGTGGGATTTACATTCTTTTGATCTCCTCCCCATCCCCAAGGGAGCATGGGATAAGAAGGATGGGAGTGAGTGAGCGGCTGCATGGTTCTAAGTTAAGGGCTGGGCTTAAACCACAACATGTTTTGACAAGCTTTACTAATTCACTTGCTAAAGCTGCTAACCATTATGCTGTATGGTTTGGAGTTCCAGGATTTATTTGGTTGGCTATTTTCTGATAATTCATTTAAGTAAACTAAGACAATAACAAATTAATGCAATAATCAAGTGATGTTTCAATGTAAGTAGATTAAAAGATTTAGCTGCTAGACTGACACTACTCCAAGCTTTCCTATTCAGTGACCCAGAAGTAAAAGTTTTGGAGAAAGTCCTCCAATTTGTACCATTAGCAGGATGAGAGAAATATAAATGAGAAAGCAGATCTGTATTGCAACCAAGTGAATATGTATTTGAAATGCATAATCTTAAATGTAGGATTTGTTCTGTCAAGACAGCTTTCTGAAGTTGTAGAGAAAACACCACTCTCAGAGAACTAAACAAATCCAAAAAGGGGTGGAGGAGATGCACCTCATAAAGTAAAAATCTGAGGTCATCTCATCAAAAGCTTTCTGGGATGTTTCCAAATCATGGATTGCTTTTAATATTTGAATCACTTCCAACTATTCAACATTATCATTGCAATCCTCCCAGTGGTTTCAGTGATAGGTGCTGGGCTCAGTAACCAAATGATTTGAGAAACTGACTCTGCAAACAACATTTGAGGAAAATACTAAGCTACCATTCTAGTTTTCCAGACTAGTATGGATGCTTGTTAGCAGTTCCCTAAGTGAGGCTTTAAGAATAAAGCACTCACCTGCCACCTGGTTCTTAAATCTGAGCTCATGACAGAGCACTTCTCTGAAGAGCACAAGAACAAACATTTCGTTCACTCAGTGCCTGGGAAAAATCAGATGCTTGAGTTCAAATCATCCCCTCAGGAAGTTCTTTTACTACATCTGCATCAGCATTCAACTGCTCTTTGAAAGCAGGGGCTACAAGTGGCTCCTCTTGGAGGCAGAGGGATAACAGGGGGGGTTCAGGTTAGATATAAGGAAGTTCTTTACTGTGACAGTGGTGAGGCACTGGCACAGGTTGCCCAAGGAAGAGGTAAATGATCCATCCCTGGCAGTGTTCAAGGCCACAGAAGACAGAGCCTTGGGTAATACGGTCTTGTGTGAGGTGTCCCTGTCCATGGCAGGGGACTGGAACTGGATGAGCTTAAAGTCCTTTCCAACCCAAACCATTCTGTGATTCTATGAGGTAGTTCAGCACCACAACAGCAAAATTTTAGGACTGGTCTCTTCAATTCTTTTATTATTGCAGCAGGAAAAGCCACACCCAGCATACAGGACCATATATATGTATACGTGATGGGGGGATATCTGGCTGTTATGAGAACTCACCTTGTATTGGAAACCCTGGTTATGATAGTCCTCAGCAGAGGAAGGCTCACTAAACTGCTGAACATAACACACACCTAGCCAGTGTAAGCAAAAAATAGAAAAGCAATAAGCAAGCAGTCTTGTGATGTGATGCAAGCACCTGAGCCACACAGAGCAGGTCTGGAAGAGAAACCAACAGAACAGTTCACATCCCAGCTAATCTCCACTCCTAGTACATAGGCAGCACCTTTTTGCCTACAAAGGAGAGCATGGAACAGGGGCAAGAGAGTGGGGTTCCCTTGTCCACTTCTGATGCTCCATCTAGATCACCTCTGGTGAAGTACACTTTCCATCCAGAGGCCAGAAGGTTGAGAGGGTGTTTGCACATTAAAATTCCCTACGCAAACCCAGAAATCTCTCTCACACCATCACAAGGTACTCATAAAATTAATCAAAGAGATATTAAAGAACAACAAAGTCACTTAAATGGAATTCAAAGTTGCCTGAAAGCTCCTCTTAGAGGACAGGAATTCCACTTAATACACCAAGTAAGGATGACGCTTCTAAAGGCGACAGCTTCAAGGCTGCGTATCTCTGTGGTGCAAGAGTCATACATGAAAGCTGTATTTCATTATCTTCTGGTGTTTGCATCTTAGCACCCATACTTGCTGTTTGCAGATATACTAGTTTTACAAGATCTCAAAGGTCAAAATGAGCCTTCAGGTATTTTAAAAGGACTAAGCAACCCACAGGTAAGTTATATGCTAAGTGGTGTTAGCCAGTGAAGGTTAGAGCCCACCATGGGGAAGTACGTAAGTTTTTTCTATGGCCTTTGTGTAACAGGATCTCAGAAAATGCTCCACTTGCAGGATAAAAGCAGCTCTCTCCTGAGGGCTAGGGGAAACACTTCTCATATACCCAGCCAGCAAGAACCTTGGAAAAGACTGCCCAAGCCAGAATCCACCTCAGGTTCTCTCCATCACACTGGTCTTCCCGTTTGGGAAAGATCAACTCCTCTTTCCTCTCTAAGTAATCTCTACAAAGCTCCACCACTCACCTTTGTCTGCTCTTTCCTGAGTTGCTTTAATAACACTGCATCATCCTGGGCCTTTTCCCTCTCTTCTCTGAGAGTTTTCACTACACTGGAAGTCTGAGCAATGCAGTTTTTGATGATTCTCTCCCTGCTGGTATGAGCATCCATCAACTAAGTGGGGAGAGAAAGAAAGTCACAACAACTCAGCAGATAATAAAATTACTTCGATTTACAAGTTAAAAGAAAGACTTTCTAAAGTCAAGGCCCTCCTGTGCCTATAGAAAACCCCTGATTCTATGTTAGAAGTAACACTGCTTTTAGTAACAGGTAGGAAGTTGATCAAAAGTCAAAGATATACATGAGCAGGAGTCTTGCAAAGAAAGAAGCGGACAGGGCTAATACCATCCACTGAGGCCTGAAGTGCACCTCAAGTATTACTGCTGCAGAACAAATTTCCCCAAGTGGTTTTAAACTGAGGTAACTGTTACATGCATGCAGTTTAGATGCATAGAGAAGCCAAGCATGCCGATTACAGGTATATAAAGCACTGGTGAGGCTGCACCTCGAATCCTGTGTTCAGTTCTGGGCCCCTCGCTACAAGATAGACACTGAGGTGCTGGAGCCCGGCCAGAGAAGGGCAACAGAGCTGGTGCAAGGCCTGGAGCACATGTGTGATGGGGAATGGCTGAGGGACCTGGGAGTTTAGTCTGGAGAAGAGAAGGCTCAGGGGGGACCTTATCGCTCTCTACAGTTACCTGACAGGAGGATGGAGTGAGGTGGGGTCGGTCTCTTCTCTCAAGGAACAAGTGACAGAACAAGAAGAAACGGCCTCAAAGCTGCACCAGGGGAGGTTTAGACTGGAGATGAGGAACAATTCCTTCCCCAAAGGGTGCTCAGGCATTGGAACAGGCTGCCAAGGGCAATGCTGGAGTCACCGTCCTTGGAAGTGTTCACATACCGTGTAGACAAGGCCCTCAGTGACACTAGAGGATGGACTAAATGGTGGAATTGGCAGTCCTAGGGTTGGACTTGATGATCTTAAAGGTCTTTTCCAACCTAGTTGATTCTGTAATTCTAATATATCAAGGTAGTGGTTTCCATAGACACTGGGGATGCTTTACTAGCCTATGCACATAAAACACCCATAAGAGGGCAAAGAGTCAAAGGAGAGCACACTCACAGACTCATAGAGCTGTTTACACGTCTGGCTGGCATCAATCTTCCCCACAAAGGAAGCTGTTGGAATCGTAGTGTTTAATTCGTGGACAATTCTGTCATCGATTGTCCTCATCACCCTGAGAAACTCCTGTGTTTAAAAAAATAACAATCATATTAGCTTAAATACCTGAGAGAAACCTACTGCAAAAACTGTGCCTTAGAAAACTAAGTGGATTGCTTACAAACAGCAACAAGAAGCTCTCACCAAGCGCACATATGAAGTACGTGCATGCAGTGTATGCAGCAGTATGTGCTGCAAACCGACTATTCTCAGCAGCAAAGGCCAGAGGGGAAAGAGCTCGTCAGCACCGAGTAACGAGCACCGCCCAAGCCCCCGGTCTCCCTCTGGTAACCCACCCGCAGAGCCGCTGCCCAAGGCCCCATCCCCACCGGTCCACGCTTCCAGACGGGAAACCGGGCACAACCTGCACCAAACTTCGAATTAAATAAAGGAAACACCTTCATTAGGGTACGGTATTTAAGGAACAGGCCAGCGATCACCCCCGGACGCTGCTCGCACCGCACGCGGGACGCTTCACTCTCCATTAAACAACGTGCGGGCGCGCACGGAGGCTCCACGCCCCGTCCCGGGGTCCCCTCTCGGGAGGCGGGTTTCCCTGCCCCGCTCCCTGCTAGAGGGCACCGCTCTCCCGCCGACGGGGTAACCGGAAGGCCAGGCCGGACCAGGCTGGGCCGGGCCGGGTCCCCCTCCCCGCCGCCGCATCTCGCCCCAAGCGTGCAGTGGTGACCTCGCCGCCCCAAAACGGGGTGCGCGCTCCCTCGGGGCCGCACACGGCGTTGCCTGGAGGCGGCGGCAGCGCGGCGATGCAGCGGGAGCGCCCTTTATCACCGCCAGCACCCCCCGCACAACCCGGAGCGGGTTACCTGGAACTCGGCGAAGTCCTCACAGGTCCCCGCTCCGCCGGGCGCCGCCATACTGGAAAGGCCGACGGCCGCGGCGCCAGCCAATCCAGCGGCGAGGCGGGATGACGCGAAGGGAGGCGTGCCCTGCCGAGAGGAGCGGCCCCGGGCCGGGCATCGATAGCGGTGGCGGAGGGAGGCTTCGCGCTGCGTTCTACTTCGCTTCGCCGCTCTTCTCCAGTCCCGATGCCGGCCCAGCAGTGACACTGAGGAGCGCCGGGGCTAGGCCAGGGCAGCGGTATGTGGCGCGGCGGTGGGGAGCGGGAATCCCCTGGACCAGTGGCAGGTGGTGCGGCGGCGGAAGAAGCGAAGGTTTGGCGACTGTGTGGGGGGCTGGCAGCCCCCAGACTGACTGAAGAACATGGAAAGAATGGATTTGCACCTTTCCTTCCTCCCCTGGAGATCTTGGAAAGGGTTTGGTTGGGGCTGTCCGCCTGTAAATGTAAACTTTGCAGGGGTGGAATGTATTGTGCATAAAAAATGAAGGGCGGCTCTTTTTCATAGGAGGGACATTTTCAGCCACCATAAAGAAGACTGAATTTCTATGTTTAGAAATGCTCCTTTGTCTTTCAAAGTTGGTGTGTGTTTTCTGGTTCCATTCGTCCATTTAAAAGATAATATTCTTTCTTTCTACTATACTGATTTGGCCTCTTTGCTTCTTCTGCTTTCTCTTCCAGGTGGGGCTGTTGACTTTCTGGGGAGAAATATTCCCTCAATTCTGAGAACGACTGAAGGAATGGAACCAAATATAAGCAGAAGGCTTTGCATTAAACCCCATGAAGAAGGTCAACATCAGCCAAAAGTAAGAGTTTTTGGTAATAATCATGCTATGTTTCATGATACAACATACTTAGATATCCAGGCTGCAGTCATCTGATCAGGAATTGTACTGGCATAGATGCTAATATCCCTGGGTTTTTTTGAGAGGGAATTCTGATCTTTAGACTGAAAAACTGAGTGTTAAATTTAGCAATAAAACCTTGGGTTTAAACAAAGCCAGGGATCAGTATTTCTGCGTGTGAGAACACAGTTTTCGCTTTGTAGCAGGTCACTAGTATCTTATTTGGTGTGCAGTCCTGCACTGAGGCTCTTCAGTTGTGCTGTAGAACAGACTCTTCAACCCTGAAGTAAACTATCAATGGTCAGGAACATCACATGAACTAAAATACTTCTGCAGTTGTTCATAGTAGAACCAGCTCCTGCTGTTCAAAAACTTGTGCCTGCCCTGCAGGAGTCAGTCTGAATCATGGGCTTGGCTCGTTTGCAAGGGTGGAGCTGGTCAGGTAAAGCTCAAGCCATTAAACATTTTTTTCCTATGTATGGGACAGTTCTGATACTCTAAGCAGACTTCTTGTAAAACAGGCTCCCTTCATGGCCTGCTGATGCTGGATAAAAGAAGCATACAGGTCTGAAGCATTTTGCATATTTCTATGAGGTCTCAGCAGTGTGATGTCTCCAGCAGTGGCCAGTAAAGGAGATCGCTTGCATTTTTGTGAAGACTAACAGGAACGGTGAGCAATAGCAAGGACCTGAAGACACTTCTGTCCCAGAGGTGGCATTTTTGTGTTTAATGGTCCTTACTGCATTTCTTTTTATTTTTTTCTTTCATAAATTTGCCCATTCTCCTTAAGCAAGATGTATTTTTAGCATCCACATTCTGAGAAGGAATTCCTCAGCTGAACCATGCTGTGAGAAAACACATCTAATCATGTATCTGTTTTTTAAACCCAGTGTGTGCTTCTTCCAATGTAAAGTTCCCTTATTCAGTACCCCTTCCAAAACGGGTCCTGGTTATTATAACCCACGCTGTTAATGTCACTTAAGATTCTGATGCCCTCTGTTGTGCTGAGAGGAGCTTCAATTACAGCTTGTCCAAGTCAGGCTCATTCTATGATACAGCTTCTTACATGGTGGCCATTCCCTACCTGTGGTCCTCCCCAGTTTTCTTCGTGCCAGTTCTATTTCAACTGTTTCTGAGATGAGGGATTTGTACTTGACATGCTTTTCAAAATGCTGCAGTTGTGGTTTTATACAATGGCATATTGCTGCTTTTGTATTTGTCTGTGTTCCTAATCATTGCTAGTAATGCCGTTTCCCTTTCTATTACTGAACACTATTCCAAAAGCTCTATGAAACCCTGAGGACTTGCTCCTCAGCAATAATGGTTAGGTTAGAGTCTGTCCTTTGTGTGTCAGCTGGAATTGCTTCCTGTTTATACTCGTGGGGTTTCACTGGCCAGCTCATTGACTTGGGATTCTGAAGCCCTGCGGCTCTCTGCATGTAACACTCTTCTTTCTGGCTTTGAGTAACTCAGTGCTGTCAGCAAACTGTATCCACCCTACTTCCTAGATAATTTATGATGCCATGAGGCAGCATGCATCCATTCAGAATACCTCCCATTGTTAAAAAAACCCCAACCTGTCCACCTTTGCACTTTATTTGCTAGATTTTAGTATCTTATGCATGGAAACTTTCCCTTAGTATGAGTATTTATATATGGAGTTTGAAAAACTGAGCTGAAAATTAAGGGCCTAATCTCTGCTTATGGTTATGTTTGTTTATGCCTCCAGATCAGATAAAAACTTACACTGCCTGTTAACATTCTGTGATGTAACAGTGCAGCATATTTGCTTTTCTGTAGCAGTTCCATTTGGTTTATTTGTATTTTTTTTAAACTAATATAATGGGAAAACTATCACAGCACCTTAGGAAGCTTAGATGTTAGAGTAGGTGATGCAAATTTAAGGATACAAATACTGAAGTCTTGGACAAGATCTGGCTTTCCTTACATGGCCTTAGTTTAATCCCTATGTACAAGTTTGTTAATCTGATTCTGATAGACTCCTTGTCTCCTAACCAACTCTAGCAATCACACTTCTGCATTGCTCACCCTAACTGGTTTCATTACAGCTGTGGCAATTCAGCTTCTCTGACTACTGGTTTTAGTGGTGTTTTGGCTTTGTTTGTGCATTTTGTTGGGGTTCTTTTAGGTTGGTCTACTTTGAGGGTGCCTGGACACAAGCCTACAGACTGGGACAAAAGATTTTTGTTGTGGGCAGGCCATTTCAAAAAACCAGAGGATATACCAGAGACTGTCTCATAAGTGCCAGTTTTGAAGCTGTAAAAGAGACATTGTCCATGCAGAAATAAGTTACTTGAATGCAACTCCACCATAACTTTTTCTTAAATGGTATGGGTTTCCAAAGGTAAAAAAATCTTACACTGCTGTGTTTGGTTTATTGTCTTGTAGATGAGGTGACCTCAGCAATTCTGCATTACTGAGATCATCTACCCCTTTGGATTTCTTTTTTCCTGAAAGCATGACCAGCATTTATCACTTGTTTCACTAGAACATCACAATCAGCAACTTGTTACTCTTATCTCCCAATCCAAAAAGCTTTTTGCAAACACTAGTGAGGTTTTTCTAGTGTTTTAATTCCTACATCAGTCTCCCTTTGTGCAAAACTTTCATGATATACCTCTAAAATAACTGAAACTCATTTAAAATCTTTATTAGTGAACATCTAGAGCACATGGGCCAGCTCTGTTCGCTCGTGGGATTTAAACTAACAAACAGTGGAAAGGCTCCCTAACAAAAAAATATGCATAGTCCAAATTTCCCTGTTGCTGGTGGAGCTGTGTCAATGCTTTGCTCTGTGTGAAAAGTAGAAAATAAACCTGGATGTTCTAGTTTGCGTACCTGAAACGAAGATCAAACTTAACAACGGGCAATTATTAGTTGAAAAGTATTTCTAGTGGTAGGATAGTTACTTTTTAAAACATGCTTGTAATGCTTTTAAATATCTGTATGTATTTAAGTTTAAAAGATACAGTAAATCTTGTACTACTTGGGCAAACACTGTAGCTGTCCTCTAAGGATACTCGGTTTGGATGCACCTTGTAGGAACTGAAAATCTACCCCTGTATCTGGTTTTTTGTAAGTGTATCACAATGGAGAAACATTGTTAAAAATTAATCCTTCCATTTTCTACTAAGGCACTTTTCTTAAAATTACATTTGAAATACATAAAGCCATCAATTATTACAACTTATGCTATTGCCCGTTCATCTGGTTTTGCCCAAAGATTTGTTATGAGGGCTTTTAAGAAAACAGCAGAGTGATTGAAAGTCATTTCAGTGGTTTCTTGAAAGGACAAACCAAGTTTGGGTAAAAGGTGACCATTTTTGCAAGTGCTTAGGGAATTCTCATTTTCCTTTAGGCCAAAGCTGAGGAGAAAACTAAGAACTAGAAAAGCACAAAAGCTTTTTTTCCCATTCTGAACTAAGAGTGGATTGTAAGGGCTTGTGATAGAACTTGGGAATCTTGCAAGAAATAACTCATTTATTAAACAAATGTTAATCTTAGCCACTGAATTGATTTAAAATGCAAACTGAGTTCAGATAGCTACATTTTTCTCTTGTATATTCTAACACATCTACGGTACTTCAAAAAGTAACAAAGAAAGCTTTTAAATCCTACTTCTGTGCATTCCAGCTTCATTGCTTCCTCTGCCTGATTTGTTCATGGCAGATTGTTAGCAAAACCAACATGGAAGCTAAATTTAACTCTTAGTTTCATGGTAGATGGGCATGTTCCCTGTCATCAGAAATCTTGCATCAGTACTTTGGAGCAGGGATCACATCATTGTTACTCTCCAAAAACAAGGACAAAACGCTCTTCAGTTCTCAGGTCCTCTGCAATTTACCATGTTGAACTATCATGGGTACTTCAGTAGCTTTTTTCCTTCAAGTATAAGGGTCAAAACACAGTGAATTATTCCATATTCACTCATGTTAGTTTTGGTGTACAATTACCTAATTTGATGCATTTATTCTTTTATCACATTATGTTGATGCTTTTCTACTCCATAATTTTATAATACGCTAAATTTAATCAGTGAGAACATCAGACCTCCTTGAGAAGGGAGTCAACTGCTCTAAATTCTGCTAGGAGAATTAATCATATAAGGTATAGGACCTTGGTTATTGTGGAGAGCACATCTAAAAGCTTTATGGTTCACTGGCCCTTCTTGCATTGGTATTTCTAAGAGGAACTTTAAATTTGACTGAGCCACCATTTGGGTAGAATTATCTTTAGAGTTTAACCCAACTTAAAATAACTGATATTTTTAACTCATCACATGTACATTTGAAGGTTTTAATAATGGAAACTCTTCTTGTGGAAGGTTTTTGAAAAATCTAACAGCAAACTAGGCAACAGGTTTTTCCCAAGGTAGTAGGATAGCTACTGGTGTGGCTATTAATCCCCCTGAAATAAAAAGATTTAAAGGAATTCAAAGCTGCTGTTGGAAGGCTTTCAATCCTCCATGCCTCCTTAGCTTCTCAGGAAAACAGGTTACCTTCACACTCTGAAGAGCAGGAGGGAAGTGGGTAACTACTGGTCTTTTCCCAAGTCCTACTCTGAATTTCTCAGGAGTGTTTCATTCAGCTGCCAGTGTGTACCTGTAATAATATCAAACCCAGTAGTGGAGGAAGCCTTCTTGCTGGAAAACAGACTGCATCATAAATAAAATGATTCTGAAGCTCAGGCTTACTAAGCTGTGATAATGCTTCCCCCTGCCCAAGATGCTCCAACTGCTAGACACTATTTTATTCCTGCTGACAAATGTTTTTTACCCTGCTTTCTGCTGCTGAGGGAAAATGCATGTTTTACAATGCTAAATACACCACAGTCCTCATACGGGTGCAGTGCTCCCTGACTTTGCTGATCCTGGAATGTGGTAGTGAGCGGAGAGGGATCTGACATTAAGAAGAATATCATATTAGTAAAACCATCCCTCTCTCTTTCCTGTCATCTCCGTAGTGAATGTGCATACTTAAATACTGCAGCCTCCCTCCTCTTCCAGATCACTTGGCTGCAATGATAAGCAATATTCTCTCTTAACAAATAACCGTTAGCCAAAGGACTTATTTGTGTCTCTGGTAATGAGGGTGTCTGTTCTTTTATTTCTTGAGGATTGATACAATCAGAGCAGCAAAGACCACACTGCGTGTGAAGTTCAGCTATGTGATGATCGCACTGACAATAGTGGGATGCATAATCATGGTGATTAGAGGAAAGCAGGTAAGCACAATTTTTGGCTGGTGAGCACAGATCAGTCTTGACATAAACTCTTCAGTTCCTCCTGTGGATTGTTAGCACTGTTTTGGTTTGGGGTTTGTTGGTTTAATTCTATCACTGATCAAAACTATGTCTTCCCAGTTCCCCAGAACTGAACCTCACTGATTAATTCCCAGGTCACAAAAGGGTGATGTCACTGTTAAGAATGCATCTGCTTCCTTTAAAAAGAGAAAAAAGTATTTTTTTCTCAATGATTGCATTGTTTTAACTCCTTGGTTTTGCTGATGGGCTGCAAGAAGTCAAAAGGAAAGAGCACCTTCTGTTGTGAGGATCTGGTGGGCAGGTAAAGGCTCCTTGGGCCAATGGGGTCCATATAGCAACTGTATGGACCTATTACAAATGCCTCTCTACACACTGCAACACTCATACACTCAATATAATGGAAACAGCAAATAAGTAGGTTTCTCCGAGGACAAGACATGAGAATACTCAAAAGTATTTTTAAATAGTGAAGAGATGGTAATTCTGTACCCTTTAATTGCATTAGAAAATAGTTTTACTTAGCGTGGATGGAACAAGTTCTCAAATTATTAATGGTTGTTGAATCGGAACACTAATTCATAGAAAAGTTCCCAAATCCTGGAGGTACTGAGCATCCTTCACTTGCATAGAATCTGGCAAGGTATCCAAGCTCAACATGCGGCAGAACTAGGTCTACGATTTAATTAGCATCGTATTAAGAGAGTGAGTATAAAGACTAAGATTCCATGTGCAGCAAAGGCTAGTCATGCCTTAATTTTATGCGTTTTCAACACAGTTGGTGAACTGTTAACTTTGAGGTATTTCTGCAAAGAAGCAAGGAACACTTTTTGTGCACTGAAGCCAAGCTAAAGCTTCTCAGCAGCATTAGAATTCAAGTCAAGGAATGCAAATATAATCTGTGCAACTTATTGTCAAGTTACTTTGGATAAAAAAGCACAGTGGTAACAGAAACAAGAGTCCACTACATTCTTTTACAGATGACTGAAAGCAGAAACCCCTCAGCTTAAAGCATCTAAATGGGCAGAACCTTAGTTGTGTGCTGCCTTTCTCTGAGGCAGTTCTGAGTAAGAGTGCTGATTTTCTTTCTATAGCCTAAGTGTTATAGAGAAACCTTAAAACTAGGAAGAAGCCTATCAAACCCAGCACTGTGAACTACTGAAGTGTCAAATGACATTTCTGCCAGCATTTGCCTATCAAAATGAAAAGGATGCAGCACTCTGAAATGTAACAATGGAAAGGTTTTTTACCATAAGAGACTGAACACTGACAATTCCCAGAACATTTCCTCTTATACTGGGGTAGTATGAATGCAAACACTGGAAAGAGTACAGCTGCTCTGGGATCCTTGTTTTCACAGCAACAGGAATCTATTATGTTTCATTTCTTATTTGTTTCCAGTACCTCTGACTTCTGAAGACCAGAGTATTAAATACTGACCATATATACTCTAGTGCCTTAACAAAAGGCACATTTAGGCACATTTATTCCTAGAGATGTAATGGGTTTAAGCCAAAATAGTCTGTTTTTCTTTTAACCCTTTCTCACCTGGCATTAAAGCTGACAGAACTGGGCCTTGAAAAGGATAGGCCAGATATTGTGTGAACTGTTGATTCATGTTTTGTACCTGTAGTCCTTTAGGTGATACCTGCTCTTGCTTTGTCATTATGTTGTAGGCTGTAAAAAGGCATGAAACTCTTACAAGCATAAACTTGGACAAGAAAGCACAATAGAGAGAAGAAGCTACTCAGAGCACATCGGCTAAACCTTAAAGGAGGAGATGAAGAGACCACATACTGGAGAAGAAAATCTGTCCCTCTTGGCACTGGAAGAATATAGTCACATCTTTCATGTATGTTGCTTCTGTACTCTCATGTTCAAGAAAATTAATACATTATCCTGTAATCATTAAAACCAGAAATACTTTACTTTTCCTAACAACCTCACCTTGCCTCCAAACTCTCTTTTTCATGGTTAGTGGGGCAGGACAAGTGAACAAACTGGACAGACACGTGTTTCCCACATGTGCTATGCACTCTTACCACTTATGAGAAGATAACTGGGACAGAAAAGGACACCCCCTTTGGTTTCGACTTGTGCATCCATACTTGTAAAAATGAAATAACCTTCACTGGGCAGTCATTAACTCTCACTCACTATTTCAGGTGCCTTGAGGAAGAATGGTGCTAGATGTATCCTAAGTTGTTACTGGGTGCTTCAAATATTCCATAAGTTCCTCCTTGTGAAAGAGAGAACAATTATTTAGAAAGCCCTTGAGTCAAGAATTGCATGACCTGCATCAACATCATCAAAATGATCATAAGTTATTAGAAAGTCTGCTTACCTGCTCTAGGTCCAATATATTCAGGCTGCATTTGTTTAAGTGAAGGATTGCTTTTTGTGAAGAACTGCTTCCTTTGATAAAAAGAGGAGGGAGACTGATAGTGAAATGGCATTCCAGAGAACCAGTGTATTACAGATGACAACCTTTTACACCAGAGCTGGTAGTGAGGGAGAATGTCCAAGCAAAGGCAACAGACATAACTATTTTTAGGAATATGAAGCAACAGCTTCAACCAGTGCTATCAGATTTACTGTTCAGAGGCACAAGAGTATGGGAAAGTCAGGCACTCCTGCTCTCTGCTGCAGAGCAACTTTTTGCCGAACCTCATTTAGATTTGCATTTTCCCCCCTTAAATCATGATCTGTGCTTTCATAGTAGCCCACTTAAAGATCATCTGCCACAAGTTTTAGACGCAGCAGACCCTGCGACACCTGCAAAGAACAACTCCCAAGAGCCACACACTGTTCATGCTCAACAGCCTGCAACAGCTGCAGACATTATCTTTTTTCCTCCTTTCAGCTCATTTGGAGGGAAATGTAGATTGGAAGTGTCAAGACTGCTTTAAACTATGTTATTTCCCAGGACTGCCTGCTAAGTGGTTGTGGGGACCCCAGAAACAGGAGAGGCATTTGTATCAGTGTGACAGATTATTTTTCTTGAAACCTTTTCCTGATCCTGGTCTGTTGGTTTTTTTTATCTTCTTTGTTGTACTACTAAAAATTATCACTATTGCTGAATAAATTAAAAGCCCTACAAAAATGCAGGGTGAATCTTGTCTTTACACCTTGAAAAGAGAAGCAGTAGTGCACTCCTCCCTAGTACTTTGCCCTTCACTTAGTCTACAACTAGAAAATACCTGCTGCAGTCCTTCTTTCTATGAACTGCATTTCTGGGTACCGCTCACATTGACAAGATGCAACCACTCAAACAAGTTGTGCAGTCATTCCACCACAGAACTTACAACTTTCAGGTGATGCCACAACCTGGTTCTCTGTAAGGCAGCTGCCTTGAGTAGTGCAGGCTTTCAGAGGTTTGTCTGCTCATTTAGCACTGAATGCAAGTCATACTTAATTCCACTGCAGGTGTGTGAACAGATCTTCCATGAGAGCTCTGGTTCTTTGCTACACCAGTAGGCACACAGGTGGAAACCAATACCAAAAACTTCCCAGATTGTGTGCCTGTGTTCATATATGCATTAAATGAGACCAAAAATCACATGCACTTCAGACAGTATTTCAGGCTATCAAGAGAAACTTGTGATTCATGCTTGATGATGGCAGAGCTTAAAACCATCCATCTCAGAACTATGCACCTCCAAAGCACCTGCCAGTGCACTCTGAGCAGAACTGGCAGGTAACTCATCTACTTTTGGAAACAGAACTATTTGGACTCATCCAGCTGTTAAAGCATTTAAAATAAGAATTATGTAAAATGCCTCTTAGAAAGCAACACCTCAAAGCAGCAATGGGCACCAGGCTTTCATTTTATTTAAATTTCTCTAAACTTTATGCTGTTTACTCAAAAATTGGAACTCCAGTCCAGTGGTTTGACAAAAGCTCCATGGGGATGTCATATATCCTTCCCTTTTAGCCACTCTGGTATCCACCATTTCAGTACTATAAAGACTGTGCATCACTGCATACCTTTGTGTTTTCCTTCAGTTTCCACATAGGCTCCAGAGTCTCAAATAAAAGCCTGAGCCGTTGGACTTTGTGCTGTCTCACTCCCAACCACTGCAGTATTTTCTTCATAAGTAGCTGGCTACTAGAAAAATGATGTAAATCTTTCTCAGAGAGACAATGAAAGAAACCACCTCTTTACTGGTGTGATGGCTTCCAAGAAAGCACTTCTAAACACAGACAGTGGTTTAAAAACCAGCACACATTTCTGGCCTATGCAGCCAGTTTAGCTGTCTGGAACACTTCCTAATAAACCTCATATTGCCTGATTTAACCAATAGTCTTAGTCTACACTCTTTAACAGTGCCTGATGGAGAGGAACATACTAAGCCCTTAAACAGCGTTTCCTTTTCTTTCTCCTCTTTGGCTTGGGGAGAGAAGAACGCAAGAACTCCAACAGCTCCCTGGCCCATCCTGCACACATGAAACCATGCTGCCTCCTACTTGCACACAAAATACAGAACACAGCAGGACTTTCACGAAGTGAAAGCTAGAGATGTTAGAGTTCCCATCTGAGCAGCCAGCACATCCTTTAGGAAAGCAAATACTAGCTTCAGTGTTCCTAGCAGGGGACATAACCCTTGTGTCAGTTTAAGAGTGCCTCATTTCTCATCTAAATGGAACTTGCCACATTTTTAGTCCTTGCCATTCCCAATTTCGTAGCATCCCTTTTTTTGGCTGATAGCAACGAGTGTTCCTGTGAAGTTTCACCAATGCCATTATAAAGTTAAGATAAATTCCCCACTTCTACTAAAGATTTATTTTTGTACCTGTGAGCATTACAGTAGCCACACAGTGAGTGACATGTTAGGAAGTAGCGTTCCAGCGATGATGTAGAATGATGCTCAGACTTTCAGCAGCACTTCTCCAGAACAGAGTCCTTCACCTGTGGCCTGAATGTTATTTATTAGATGGGTAACGTTACACTACATGTTTGGCTCTATTAAAATGCAAATAGGTAACTTGCCCTTGGCATACCAAGTAATTCTGATGAGTCTGTATCAGGGAGCTCCTGTTCCTTTCATCATTCACAAGTCTGCTCTCCCTAGAATGCACAACCTTTGTTAGAAGTGGATTTTGTTTCTTTTCAACCTATTCATAAGGCTAAATAAAGCAAGGCCAAGATCTGGTTGCTGGAAAATCCTGACAGAAATATACTCAATTAAGCAGCATTTAAAATTCAACTTGAGACCTATGAATTAGCCACATTTTAATCCATTTAATGTGTGCCATGTTGATTTTTGTATAGTTTTAGTTTTCAGTCAAAATACTATGCATTACCAGTCAAATGCCTTACACAGTCTAGGTATATATGACAACAAGATTACCTGTGTCAACCAGGCCTGTCGCTTCAAACAAACATACCAAGTTTAAAGATTTATACTTATCTGCTCTGAATCCACATATCCACAGCAAAAGTAACAAACACTGGCCAGGCTCCTTACACAGGAAGGCACACCATTCAGCTTCAACGGACTCTTTTAATTCACTCATTTAGAGGCAACTGTCATTACTTTCTTGGGGGGCAGGGGAAGAAAACGCCAATGCACCACATTGTTTTCACTAGCCTGGAAAACACTTATATATATATAGATATATAGATATGTGTATATATATACACACATATGCATGTGTGTACATATATAGGTGTGTGTGTATATATGTATATATACACACTAGTGTATATATACACAGAATATACATATATGAATATACAGAATATATGCACACACACTTTGCTCAGATTTGTTTACAAAATATGTAGCATTTTTATACCATCCAATAAGAGGTACGTGATTTTAAACAAATCTTATAGAAATGACATGTTATTGGAAATTTACACGTAAAAAAATCCAGCACAAAAAAATCCAAAAGCTAAAACAAGGTTTTGCTACTAATCAGTGCTTCTATCACCCTTGAAGAAAAGAGAAACACAGTTATTTATATGTGATGTAAAGGCAACATTGAGGGGTTTTCTTGCTTTTTTTTTTTCCTTTTTTTTCTTTTTTTAAATTAACCACCAAATTTAACCCCCTAAAATTACAAAGAATCAAAGTCCATTTACAGATCAAGTGCAGTAAACTAAATGTTCCTTCAGCACAAAGCAGCACTAGAGAAAGTAAGTGGGAGAGGGAAGGTGGAGGCCAACTGGCTTAGCTAGGGAAGCAGCAGGTGGCTGCTGCTGTAGCCACACAGGTCAGAGTCTCCATCCTGAAGCACAGACAGAACTGAAGACTGTACTTAAATGATGGTCACACAGAGCTGATGTTCAGGCCTTTGCCTAGCTTCTTTCAGCAGTTTGACAAGTGATTTATACGTTTTTATCATTCTGTATCCAATGGGCTGGTTTTGCTTTTGCAGTGACTTGTCACTGAGAGGAGCCAGAAGGATGATCTTGCAGTCAGTTCTGCCACTAACCTCTACCACAGGTACACGACACTGCAGTTGTTAGTGGTGATTTTGAAATGTTTACACTGGACAAATGTGGTTCCAAGCATCCCAAAGGGCTTGAAAGAACACAGCCTGATGCAGGGGGGAGCGGACGGCCTGGACAATCCATTGCATTAACAGAAATGGAACCGCCACTTTCAATCACATGGCATCTCTCCAGTTGCACGCAGATTCTGGTGCCAATCTCAGCTGAAGTCAGTGAGGAGTGGCTGGCCTTCGCATCAGATGTCTGTGATCCAAGCGGGTCGCAGAGCCAAGAACATGCTGCTAGCAGAATGGCAGTCTACAGCTGCAGATGACAGCTGTCATGCAGTCAGCGATGCCTTATAGATGTCACCTGCAGGAACCATGCGTTCCATGCTTATTTATCTCAAGTCTAGTAAACAGCAAGAGGGAAAACTGAAAGGGCCAGGAGGATCCGGCTGTAAGATTATTATCCTTTGAGCGTAGTGTCATTTGAGTTGTTAAATAA